CACATGTATGTAGCTTGATTTATTTTCTTTCAAGCTCACCAGATATTGTTTTCTGACATGAAATATATAATTAAATTTTGGTTTATACTAATATCAAGACAACTGCTGGAGAGAGAGAATTTTATTACAAACTGCCTTATCAGCATTTATAAGCAGGGGTGATGGAAATATGCATGGGGGTAACATCCTCAGAAGTGGGGGCATTTTTATTTTTTTGCAGGAAGTTTATCATAAAAGAAAATTATGTGCCATGTACATACTATACATATGTGTTCGATACTAAGGAGTAAGAGTACATATGCAAGAATAACCTTATGATCCCCAGGGTGTGGGTAGTTCCTGAGTTTGAATGATTGTTTTTTTTTCACAATGACAATTTGCTACTTATACTATTAATTTTGTACTAATACTCATATGTAAGACAACTATTCTGCCAAGAGTTTTAGTCTTGTTGATTAATAAAACATAAGAAACGTGTATTTTCTAGCATTTACCGTCAAAAAATCCTTCATTTTGCTTAATTCACATGCACATAACTCTGCTTAGGAAAATGCTAGAACAAAAATTTAAACTTTAGGTTAATGCCCAACTTCTATACTTAATGTGTGCCAAATTTCAAATGTCTGTGACAATATTAAGGGGATGAAAAATGATGGGGGCAACTTTTTTCTCATTTTTGAAAATGGCGCCTGAAAAAAAGAACAAACATGGTGTTACTAAAACTTGAATAACTTTTGATCTAAATGAGATAAATTAAAAATTTAAATTGATTATTCATACTCAAATGTGTGGCTATCTGTGCACCAAATTTCAAGTCTCTAGCTCACTTAGAAAAATATCATGTGTGCACCCTACTAGCAGATTAATTTTATGATGTGGGAAATGGGCATAAGGTTAAAAAAATACCTTGCTTTTCAGATATCAAATAGTAGCTTCTGAAGGGAGGATGGNTAAATGAGATAAATTAAAAATTTAAATTGATTATTCATACTCAAATGTGTGGCTATCTGTGCACCAAATTTCAAGTCTCTAGCTCACTTAGAAAAATATCATGTGTGCACCCTACTAGCAGATTAATTTTATGATGTGGGAAATGGGCATAAGGTTAAAAAAATACCTTGCTTTTCAGATATCAAATAGTAGCTTCTGAAGGGAGGATGGTTCTACTCCACATTGCTCTCCCCCATGCCCCCTCTCAAAACAAAAACCTGAATTGGCCATTGCAAGCATGATTAATTATAATTATTGCCTGGTTATTATCAGTATGTTGAATTGCTATCATTTGGTGGATTTCTAGGTGCTGTACTGTAGTGATGGCTGTAGAGATTCAGCCTGGAATCTCTACCATAGAGTGCTGTGTCAAGGAGCTTCAGTTGCTGATCCTAATCATCCTACAGAGAAACTAAAAGATGCTTGGAGGTAATAATATCTTAATTATCAATGAAATCTTCATAAGATGAAAAAAAAGGAATTGTTGTTTGTGTTCAGATTAAATCTGGAGTGACAATTCTTTTTTTTTTTTTTCTTATTCAGTGCATTTACAAGTTATAGTAGTACTTGAAAGTCAAAATCATTGAAACCACACCCTTCTTTTCTGTAACATTAAGCTTCAACTGAATGTAATGTACACAGATACACAGCAGTTCTGAATCTAAAGGCATTAGAGTATCAATTGTGATTGCATAATGAGTACATGGTGTACTTGACCGCTGAGTAATTTATTTACTTATATACAAAATACATCAGCAACACAGAATATTTGTTTCACCACCAAATGCATGTCGATTTGAGGTAGAGGATTATGTTTCTCCCCATTTTCCCATAAAGTCAAGGATTTGAATGTAGAGTACAAAGACTTGTTTATTTAGGAATATGCACTACCCTCCAGAAACATCAAGTATTATGTTAATTGCAAGGATGATAGCATTAGTGAAACAGGTAAAGTTTTATATGCAAAACATTTATTCTTAGATTAAATTTTAAAAGGCATGCAAATAGTTACAAACAATTTTTCGTCATTTGATAAATTAAATGTCATTTTGAAAAAGAATGAGGTCTCAACTCCAGAACTTTTTCTATATATGTACATCCTTAAATGGATGCTATTGAAGTGTTAGAATGATTGCATTAAGTACAGCTTTCTTTTTACATTCAGAGTGACAAAAAAGACCAAATTTTGTCCAAATTTGCTGAATTTTGCAAATCAACTGTGAACGAAGAAGAGCATATAGCACACAAACTTTTAGGGAAAGAATTCCAGGTAGGTGCAGAAGAAATGTAATTTATTTGTAAATACATATATGCAATGTAATATAACTCTGGATTTTTTTTAGTAAGACTTGTCATTAGGCTGCCGAGTAATGTATCTTTTTATACTGCACTTTTCTCAACCAGTGGTATGTTATTCCAATTTCAGGAACAGTTGGAGATCCTTCGTTCCTTGGTTTGTGAAGCATTTTATGATGAACATGTGCAGCAGGTTGGTGAAATTTCTGTTTTGTTTTCTTTATTCTTTTGGTTAACATTGCTTTTTCTACCTTTAGCTTTTTATTCTCATGTTCATATAACTTTGTAATTTTTGTTGCATTGACAGTCAAACGCAAAGAACTTTATCATGAACTTTGCCTCCTTGCCAATGCCAATTGTCCTTGATTCTTTGGCACCTGTTTTATATTATATTGGTGAAATGGTGGTCTGCATCCTTTGAAATTCTTGCAACATTTGTCTGCTGCACTGTAACTCCCCAACCTCATTGCTCCCCAGACAGTTATTTCACTGCATTGTTAAACTGTGCACCATAACTACATAGTGAGATATTGATGTGAGGAAGTACAGCTGTAGGGCCATATCAATGCCAGAAAGAATCAATGCTGGAAAAATGTTGGCGCAAAGACTCAAAGAGATGGTCCCAAAATTATGTGTAATAAATTTGCGAAAGGCAGCTTAAATGAATAGTTTATATTATTCCATTGTTTATATTATTCCACTCTCCTTGTTGATCAACCTATTTGAACCCACTATTGGTGAAGCTTGGCCTAATATTTAGTGAAATGTATTTTCAGTGGTTCACGCCAGAGGGATTTAGATCATTGTTTGCTCTTATAGGTACAAATGGACAAGGTGTTGGTACAAGGTAAAACGTAGTACAGATTCATCAAAGTCACTTTTTGGCTTTAATTTATCTTTCTTTATCAAGCCATTGTTATCAGCATATATTTGCAAATTGCACAAGGCTATTGTTCATAGTGGTATTGTCAGTAAAATAACACCAAGTGCAGAAATTTGGGGTAGGTGTCAATGCATCAAGTCCCTAATGCTGTCCTTTCAGTTCTCTGAGTGTATGGGTTCACAACTGTGATGCTCTGGAGCTGTCAGATGAAGAGAGACAGACTTTAGATGCCTTCATTGATCAGTTGTATGTTGATATAGAGAAAGGTGAGTATCAGTGTCATATGTGACGGCAGGAGTTCTACTTATCTTTTTCATATTCACGAAAAGTATTTTAAAGTTGTTATTCAGTATTTTGATATGGCTAAACCTCTACTGTTTGGGTCTATTTATTATATTAAAAGAATGTGTGAGTTTAGTATTCTGTGTATCATCTGTGTAGTTTTTTGTAGTTTTTGTGCAAGTAAGCATACTTCTATATTTTCAGAGTCTGGTACATTTTTGAACTGTGAGGGATCAGGTCTTTATACCTTCCAAAGTGCTTGTAAGTCTCGGTGTCTTCAGTATCTAAAGATTCTCTTCAGTAAAGTATACTGGCAGAATTTTCATTTTAAGTTCATTTGTGAGGGGAGCGTTTCATACATCCTAAGAGGTCGTTTCTTGGTGGCAGTTAGTGAAAAAAGTTTACTAACAATATATCAGGTGTAAGCCAAAGAAGAAATATTTATGATTTTTCTACATTAAATCGAAGTAAAGGCAATGGTTTGTCTACAGCAAGACAAATGCCAGTATTGCTTTTGCTATTGATTTCAAATTGTTTTCTCTCTCAGGTAACCACAGTTGCCAACCAAATGCAGAGGTTACCTTCCCTCACAATAACTTTACACTGCAGATGGTAGCAGTACAGGATATCAAAGCAGGAGAAGAAATCTGCATTTCTTACCTAGATGAGTGTGACAGGGAAAGAAGTAGATATAGCAGGCAAAAAGCTCTCAGGTGAGTCACAAAGAATGATGAACAAACATTTTTATTAAGTAGTCTTGTCTAGCAATTAAAATTTAAATGTGAATAAATCATATTTGATCACGCTTTTCACTTGTAGATAAAAGCTTATAGTGAAATTGTTGTTGAAAATAGAGTAAATCCTTGACAGGTGTTACCTTCTCCAGATTTTACATTTTTTGGAAGATATTATTGCTTCTTATTGCCCTTACTTGAATAACATTTTTTATTTGACAAAATCTAAATCAAGATGTACTTCCTATCAATCCACCACAATGTAGCTTGTAAGATTAAAACTTTTATTTTTAGGGAGAACTATCTTTTTAACTGTAACTGTTCATTGTGCCAGTCTCAAATTGATGATCCTGATGTTACATCGGAGGAAGAAGAAGAGGAGGAGGAGGAGGATGAAGAACAGATGCAAGAAGATAGTTGACACAGACAGAGGGAAGTTTAGTCCTGCATTTGGAGTAAATATATTTCAACTGTGGAAAACTCACCATAGCTGCATGTACATCTATAAGTGAAAATTGTTCAGAATTATAATGGGATTGAATGAAGGCATGCTTAGAGTGATATTTATTATACAAAAGAAGAGCATGATAAAAGTGATTGAATTGGTAAAATGTACCATAAAATGAAATAGGGTTAGACATTAGCAACATCAGTATATTACGTAAAAGATACAGATTGCAGAAAATAACACGGTTTAAAAATGTCAAGTCTGAGATCTTGAAAACCATTTGCGTCATGGTATTTCTTTCAGAATATGGGACTTGTTTACAAAATTTGCAAATGAGTTGATGTTTTGCATGCTGTGCAATTGTAAACTACTTTACTAGTAGGAATATGAAAGGGCAACGTGTTTTTCATTTTGAAAGATAATCTGTTGTATTTAGAGTAAATATTTCACATATTTGTTTTGCTACTTACCAATGCACCCTGTGCCTAATTTCACTGAGGATTTTTAAACCTTTTATTAAGGGCTGTTAACACCCTTATTAAAATAGAAAAGATCAGTGCTGTGTCAAACAGCAATGATATGCATTTTTATCTGTAAATTCCCAGTTTCATTCAGTAGTGCATAGTTTTTGTTACTATCTCAGCTTGTATGGGCTCACTTACTACCACAGAATGTGAAGCATAGTAGCATTCAAGTCTGCAGCATCAGCATATGTTTCCCCAGTGAGTAATCTAATGACTTTGGGGGATACTGGTATATTCATTTTTGGTATTCTATTTATATCTTGTCCCAGTGGTAATCCAATGCACCACTTTGTTCAAGCCTTCTGCCAGTCCTCATTGCTGTCTCTACATCTCTCCCTTGTGGTCAGCCGACAGTTTTTGCAGATGTCCCTTGAAAGCCTTATTCAGACTGACACAGAGTGGTTGAGCCTTTGAAGTACACCCTCTGGGACTGACTGCCAGGGTTGCATTAGTTTGCCTGGCCTCATAACAGACTTTTTCTGGATGAATCTTGAACATTTGATCATATCCTGGATAATCTTTTGGGATCAGGTTTGTTGACCCTTCCTGTCAAATGCTAGTTTTACGTGTTTAAGGGTGAGACCACTGCTAGCAATCTGATTGAGCATGGTTTTACGAGCCAACTTTGTAATTGCACCACAAAGGTTCATATGGATCAAATTCCTCATATGCCTCCTAGTTATACATGTCGGATATGAAAACACATGATCGCATTTTGCAGTCCCTTGTGCCACCAGAAAGTGGCATAGGGTATATTACGTAGAAGTTCAGACAGATGAAAGTTATATTTATCTCCCCGCCTGTTAAACTGTCTGTCTTATCTACCTATGTTTGACGTTTGTTGTTGTGGGTTCTGATGGATCTTTTGAAATTTTGTAAGCTGTGCTGCTGTTCATGGGGGCCTGCTGTCTGTTGTGAGTGTTTATGGGGGTTTGTAGCCTTTGGTGCTTGTAGCGGATCTCCAAGTTAGACAACACGCAAACTATTCTATGGAATATAAAGCTTTTTATTCTTGCTGATCTTTCAGAAACACTGAGAAACTGATACTTATGAAAACTAAGGAAAAAGAAAACAATACTGTTTACACAAAGTAAATACAGAGAGAAATAAAACAAATTAAATGATACAACTTTATAAATTAAAAAAAAATAAAGATAATAATACTAAAGGAGATTAATATGTGAGATTCGCTGGCTTAACTTATACACGTATGCTCGTATGCTCTTATCCAGCAGTCAGTCTTTACATCTTAGCACAGTAACTCATAAATGTTAAACTGCTTCTTTTAACACGTGATAATACTCATATTTGTGGTAGTTTGCAGACGATCAACTGCAATGATATTTAAATAATGGTCAGTGACCCCTAGGACCTGTTGTCCATCAATCTCGAAAATATCACTAGATATTTTATCCCAGGACGCATTTCCATCACTGTGTGTTATCAATGTTTCTTTTTAATTGCCTGGTCAGAGTTCTTGACATTGTGCAAAGGTCTCAACAAGCTGTTTTATGTCATGTGACATACAGGGCCAATATAATAACCAACATTCATGTCACATATCTCACCATAGCTTGCATTCTTTGGCCATGGAAATTAGTGCAACAAATTTTCTCCATCGATAACAAATTGTATATCACTGGTAAGACCATGTTCAGCAACACAGAGGTGCAATCTTCAGGAGGCTGTGTATAAATTCTGCTTTGTCTCCTGTTCACATGCACAATGTGTGATCAAACAAAGGAGGACATGAGCACAGTTCATACTGAAAAAGTTCCACCAAAAGGAATTCAATTCACCTTCCCCCATTATAAGTAAACTTTTGGACAGGCACTATAGACCCATGTCAATTCTTTTACTAGAGGGAAGTTTTGCATATTTGGTTTTTGATGGCATCATTTACATGCTGATGGGCATCTTGAATGAGCCTTTCTAAATTTGATTTCAGTGTGACAATTAAGAGGCTATTGCCACTCTGTCTCCATAATAGATGTACAGCTGTCGCTGAAGAGATTTTTTGCAGTAACCTTTGTCACACCTGGAATCAATTTGCATAATCTCATTTTATCAAAGGTGACAGTCCCATCATCATTATTTTCTAAATACTCAACAACTTTCATGAATAAAGATTGCTTATTCACATCTCTCTGACCAATGATGAAACCAATACAAAAAAAAAAAAAAATAGTACATGCATTCACACTAAACATTTTTATGTAGTTAACACAAAAATGATATGCATTATTATTTATTTATATTATTGTTAAAAAAAGTAGATAAAAACTCTTAATGTAATGGTTTGAACCACCTTTTTAAAACTTTTAAACTGCATGCTGATGGACCTGCTTTCAATTGGAGTTTCAATGAACAATCTCTAGGCGATACCAATCACAATCGCGTTTCTGATTTCTTCCTCCTTGTTAGTAAAGTTACAGTTAGTAAAGTTAGTAAAATTCCACTAAATTTCTGTAGAAAGTTTCATCAGATTCCCCAGGTAAGTGACGACGCTGGTGGAATTTTGCTCTCTCGTTTATTACATTCCTTCTTGGAATGAAATACTCATTGTTCTGACCGTTGACTATTGTCATCAGACAGCATACCAAACAACACAACACATCTTGTTGAGATGTAATAGCGGTAAACTTTAATAAGAAAAAATAAACAAAATGTAAGTACAAAGACAATAACAAAGTAAACTTTACAAAACTTTTTTGTCTAAAACTGAAGGCCAATTACGGTAACACAGTTGAAATGATATTAAGAATGCTCTATAAAACTAAACGGTAATAAAGGTAAGCAATTTAAAGAATGTTTTTTGTACTAAGCTTAAGTGCAATACCATTTCACAAGACAATGTACATGTATCTGTTCTATATTTCAGAGCATTTACAGTACTAGTAAAACAAATGTAAATTCTTACAAAAAATGGTGTCACCGGCTAAAACGTGCAAAGCAGTACTGAAAACGTGCTACAGATTTGCAATGACTGAAAACGAGAACCTAAATAAGTTTGCTGACACGCTAAACTCTAAACGATATCACTTGCACCCTGACGCTAATACAGTAAGTTTGCGCTAAGCTAAATAGCCGTTCTTCGATCGAATATAGTTTTTACAGAGGGTTTATACAATGAAATACACCAGGTAAATAGTAGTGACACGTTGCATAAGCGAAAACAAATACGAAATCACCCTCAGTAAATCAGCATCGTTACAAGATACTGAACGCTAACAAAGATCGTCGCGGCAGCAATTTAAGGAATGTTTATAAACCAAATCGTATAACTAAATATTAAAACAACCTTGCTACTCTATAAACTCACTTTAACTTATCAACAAAATGAAAACGCTTACTTTAACTCCTATGGTTGAGTTATGTCTTTACTGTAGAACTAGAACGGCGTGTATCTTCTGAGTATCGTGTGAGTGAATGAAGAATGTTCTAAGTGTAACTAAGTAATATCGGGGTTACTGGTCAATGAAGTCCGGCCGACACCCCTCACGAGATTGAACACGCCACTACCCATTACACAATAATTTAACCCCAATACAGTGAGAGCGCTAGGAGGCTAGCGAAGTGAAAGGGCTACAAATTCACGAAGAGGGGTCTACAAAGCTATACGTAGTGTACTATGCATTCTCCTAAAGCTATTAAATTAGTTTCAACACACTCATCGAACTTAGCAATGGCAATGTCAACATTTTCTGACTCGGGCTTACCTTCTTCTGTGGCCTCTGCTGTAGACAGATTAAACGTTGAAAATATTTGCTCTGTGTCCTTCCCCATGGTGTATATTAAAGCAGACACTAGTATACCGCTGGCCTCAGAGTCCAGTTTGGTAGCTCTCCTATATCGCATGAATCATTGGCACCATTATGTCCACTCGTTTGGCACATAGAACTTAAAGGAAGATTTAATTTTGCCATTCCGTCACTGAATTTGCATCTCCTCTCTTTCTCTCTCTCTAGTACCTCTCCGTTTTTTTCACAGCATTTCTGACACCATGTCATAGAATGGCATAAAAATAAAGACAAACATGCTGTACAAGCTGTTCATACATGTGACTTTATTCTACTTCTTCTAACTACATACAGATGGCGCTTTAGGCCAAGATGTAACTAATCATATGTGACACTGACACTCATTGAAGTCACTGGCCCTACTTGGGCACCATGGAGATTACTCTCTGACACTCGAGAAAGTCACTGGCCCTAATCAGATACTGTGGTGAAAGTCTAAAGGAAACAGTGTTAATAGGGGGGTTCCTGTCCGCTTCATAAACAATTTTGGTATTCAGCTTTTACCTTGCTTGCCTTAAATAAGGGGGGCATGCTTTTGCAATTACTGCGCACTTTGCCACACGCACCAATATCCCTGGCTTGTTTGGGCCATATACATTTACCAGTAAAAATGTGTATTTGTTTCTATTAGGACTTTGAGAATAATGTAGTTTCTGCGGTCGTCATTTTTTTATTTAAGGACTTTAAATTCAAAATTATTATTAAACAGTATTGCTGTTCCTTTCGAGTCTGGACTGGACTGAACCTGGACTGGAAAAAGTTTTGTAGCCCAAGAGGGGACGAATATTATTATTCACTGTAAACAAATCATCGCGCGTCTTGCATTTGTAGCATAAAATTCATCGTAATAATTTTTCTATGCTTGATATAAGGTGGTTTGTCATTGGCCTGTAATCATTTAATGGGTGTGGAAACATTGTTTTATCGATAGCTAAGATTACTTAGTATTATAATAAATTTTTTGTTCTATTTTATGATCTTAAAGTTAAAGATTAATAGTGTGATGGGATAACGGAGTCACTTCCTACGCATCATATCGCGGTTTTAAGCTGCCAATTATTTTCTCTTATGCTAAATTGAATTAAGCATATATCTGAATTCTGTAGATCATAAAAGGTGGGGCTTATTTTCCGCCACATACTGTAGGATTAATATTCTATCTTGTACATGAGAATATAACTTGAGATAAGGTGTTCTATAGCCAAGTTAATATGATGGGAAAGGGATGGGCGGGAAAGCAAGTAAACAGGTAGTAACTTACCCTTGACTTCTAACAATAGCTATGAAAGCAAATTCTGCGATGGCGTATTTGGAGGTTCGTGCGAGTTGCTCGGCTGCAATCTAACGAATGCCTTCTGCATGTGTTGTTGTTGTCATCTCTGGAAATTCTGCTCACGTGATTAAGTTTCGCGTCGCGATTGGATGGTTGCGCAAGTATGTTAAGTATTACATAACATTATGGACAGCGGCAGCTGTAGGAAGCGACTCGGGTTTTAATCTTATCATGATAAAGCAGATTATGGCCATGCAATAATCTTTATTTATCGATAGCTAAGATTACTTAGTATTATAATAAATTTTTTGTTCTATTTTATGATCTTAAAGTTAAAGATTAATAGTGTGATGGGATAACGGAGTCACTTCCTACGCATCATATCGCGGTTTTAAGCTGCCAATTATTTTCTCTTATGCTAAATTGAATTAAGCATATATCTGAATTCTGTAGATCATAAAAGGTGGGGCTTATTTTCCGCCACATACTGTAGGATTAATATTCTATCTTGTACATGAGAATATAACTTGAGATAAGGTGTTCTATAGCCAAGTTAATATGATGGGAAAGGGATGGGCGGGAAAGCAAGTAAACAGGTAGTAACTTACCCTTGACTTCTAACAATAGCTATGAAAGCAAATTCTGCGATGGCGTATTTGGAGGTTCGTGCGAGTTGCTCGGCTGCAATCTAACGAATGCCTTCTGCATGTGTTGTTGTTGTCATCTCTGGAAATTCTGCTCACGTGATTAAGTTTCGCGTCGCGATTGGATGGTTGCGCAAGTATGTTAAGTATTACATAACATTATGGACAGCGGCAGCTGTAGGAAGCGACTCGGGTTTTAATCTTATCATGATAAAGCAGATTATGGCCATGCAATAATCTTTATTTATCGATAGCTAAGATTACTTAGTATTATAATAAATTTTTTGTTCTATTTTATGATCTTAAAGTTAAAGATTAATAGTGTGATGGGATAACGGAGTCACTTCCTACGCATCATATCGCGGTTTTAAGCTGCCAATTATTTTCTCTTATGCTAAATTGAATTAAGCATATATCTGAATTCTGTAGATCATAAAAGGTGGGGCTTATTTTCCGCCACATACTGTAGGATTAATATTCTATCTTGTACATGAGAATATAACTTGAGATAAGGTGTTCTATAGCCAAGTTAATATGATGGGAAAGGGATGGGCGGGAAAGCAAGTAAACAGGTAGTAACTTACCCTTGACTTCTAACAATAGCTATGAAAGCAAATTCTGCGATGGCGTATTTGGAGGTTCGTGCGAGTTGCTCGGCTGCAATCTAACGAATGCCTTCTGCATGTGTTGTTGTTGTCATCTCTGGAAATTCTGCTCACGTGATTAAGTTTCGCGTCGCGATTGGATGGTTGCGCAAGTATGTTAAGTATTACATAACATTATGGACAGCGGCAGCTGTAGGAAGCGACTCGGGTTTTAATCTTATCATGATAAAGCAGATTATGGCCATGCAATAATCTTTATTTATCGATAGCTAAGATTACTTAGTATTATAATAAATTTTTTGTTCTATTTTATGATCTTAAAGTTAAAGATTAATAGTGTGATGGGATAACGGAGTCACTTCCTACGCATCATATCGCGGTTTTAAGCTGCCAATTATTTTCTCTTATGCTAAATTGAATTAAGCATATATCTGAATTCTGTAGATCATAAAAGGTGGGGCTTATTTTCCGCCACATACTGTAGGATTAATATTCTATCTTGTACATGAGAATATAACTTGAGATAAGGTGTTCTATAGCCAAGTTAATATGATGGGAAAGGGATGGGCGGGAAAGCAAGTAAACAGGTAGTAACTTACCCTTGACTTCTAACAATAGCTATGAAAGCAAATTCTGCGATGGCGTATTTGGAGGTTCGTGCGAGTTGCTCGGCTGCAATCTAACGAATGCCTTCTGCATGTGTTGTTGTTGTCATCTCTGGAAATTCTGCTCACGTGATTAAGTTTCGCGTCGCGATTGGATGGTTGCGCAAGTATGTTAAGTATTACATAACATTATGGACAGCGGCAGCTGTAGGAAGCGACTCGGGTTTTAATCTTATCATGATAAAGCAGATTATGGCCATGCAATAATCTTTATTTATGCATTTCATACGTTGAAAATTGACCTAGAAAAATGGTGTTTTTAGGTCAATTGGTCGCAAAAACACGGCATTGGCAAGTGAGAGGCTCAGACAATTTGGCGCAAAATTGCGACGGGGCACTAACAGGGTTAAGTGTAATAGATTAGGGCAGTCCAGATTTCTTAGCAACTGTATTCAACTTTCAAACTTGTAAATTGCAATGTCCTCATGAACAATCCAGTAAACTGATTTCATGGCTGCTATAATTGCTCCATCTTTACCTAAATGTCTTAAGTATTACAGTTAAATATATATGTATGTGTAGGTTGATGTTAACATTGTTGTCAGATACAGTACTGTATTTCGATGCAGCACCAGGTTCTCTGGCTAACCCCCTTTTCATTGCCTGTGTTTGTATTTTTCTGGTAGATTGTAACTGTTCCATAAACTTTCTAACATCTTTTTTTTTTCTCTCTCAACTATGGGGCCAACATTTGAAGCAGTGATCCTCCCTTTCCGAAGTTTGTGCCATAGAGGTGTCGTTCTTTGTGCCCTTGTTTGTACCTCAAACTTTATGATATCATCTTCGGCCAGCATAAGCTCATGGATGAAAGAAGTCTGGGTTCTAGATAGACACAGAGACACTTCATTAAACATACATCGAATTATTGCAGACTGGGAGGTGAGGGAAACTAGTATCTGCAAAATTATTAATAATATTCAGATGATATTTGTTGTTGGTAGCTGATGGGGCTGCCACATCGAAACTCCATATTTAGTTGTAGTGAGTGGAGTGTCTTGAACTTGGCTGGTCACGAAATCTAAAATCATGGAATTTGGATGAGCACATTCAACAGCATTAAACAGAAGGACTGGGGATGGCATTTGACATCTGATGGGGTTGTACAGTGTAGACTTTCTTGACTGAGGTGGCTTCTCAGTTGTTTCCGTATTGTTCATGTAGCTTGAAACCTCAATGTCTTGAACAACCTTACCACCAATTTTTTCTCCTCTTGGTGTGCTCCATGAGCAGGGCAGTGATGTCCTTGCTACGTCCTAAGGGACCTGCCGTACTCCCAGGGCACTTCTGTTTTACATTGAATGCGTTAACGCCTGCATTTTCTGAGATTTTCGCCGCTTGTTTTTCGCTTGCCTCCATGGCTTATCCTATGTCAAGTGCGCGCGCCAATGTCAAATTCGTGTCAGTTAGTAACTTCGTTCTCAGTTTTCTAGAGAAACAATTGTCAATGATTTGATCTTTTATAAATTCATCGATTTGATTAACCTCAAAATTGCATTCTCTTGCTAGGGAGCACAGTCTTGTTACGAACTCAGTAAGTGTTTCCGAGCCGCTCTGTCTGGCCTGGCGAAAAATATGCTGATTGTAAGAAATGTTTCTTCTTGGTCTAAAATAATTGTTGAGCAGATCAACTGCAACATCAAATGCATTTGCATTTTCCTCTTGTTCGTCATTGGGGTTTTCCAGCGTATCGAAGATTTCTTGAACTTCGATGCCGGCACAGCTGTTTCTTTTGCTCTACATCTACGCAACCAGTGGCTACAGCGAAGATTTTGAAGCTTTTCAGCCACCTCTCCCATCTAGTAGCGATGTTATTCTGATCACTGTGTGGATCAAACTTCTCAATCGATGGTAAATTTATCGGCCTCGACATAATCTTCAATTTTTTGTAGAATCTCGGCAATATTTCTGCTTCTTTGCACTTTTACTGTTTTCACCTCGTCGCCAATGTGATATTCTTGTTATCAAAATGAGAAGGCTAACGCAGTGGAGGTTTACTTACATACGCATTCACTTTATTTCACTACACGTGGACACTTATAGTAAGCGTCTGGGTCACATGATATATGATTATAAATTTATGAGGATACTACATCATGTTATCACTAGGCAGACTGTAGTACTTGGGCCAGTGCTGCTTGTTTCAATACTTATAAAAATGTGTAGGGTTCTAGCTCTACAGGTCCCATAATTGAACAGCTTTATTGTGCAGCTGTGAAGAACTACATGTATTCAACCAGCTTGAGTCCATTGGGCCCCCATTATCCTGATAAGGGTTAAACCAATACTACCCAGGTGCTCCCTAGCACAAATATATAGGACCAGCCTCTGCCAGTCCTTTTGAAGCTGTTCTTTATATCCACGGATGGTGAACTTGGCAGGGGGTTTCCTTCAGGGAGGTGTTCCACCACCTTGCCACTGTCATATGTCAGGCAGTATTCTCCCTCTTCCATTTTATGCCCATTGTGAGCTCTATGTTTGGCCAAACTGGCCTGCAAAGTTTCCTCTGTAGTCCAGCTTGGCCTTACAGGCACTTTCAGGGTCTTCCCCCTAAAAGGCTTCAAACTGCCATTATTAGGAATGAGAATTCTCACTCTGATCTGAAATACATGCGTGAAAAAGTAACATTATTCTTCTATTAGCATTAGATGCGATTTCCATAAACCACTAAATATTTGGTTGGATTAAAATATTTTGATAAATGAACATTCAGGGAGATTTCATAGTGATTGGATTAGATGACATTAAATGTAGGCAGATATGCTTCTCATTTGTGATATAAAGTAGTTATCATGAACTTAGAAACATAAAAATATTTTCTCATCCAATTTTTTGTCTAGTACCTGAATGGATGGTAGTGGCAGATTAAATTCCAGATAACCAAATGTTATGTGGTATATAAGATCCCCTAAAGAAGACTGGTTTAATTTTTTCAAAAAGTACTGAGACCTCAAGATTTTTTTAAAATTTACCTTTTAACCTTCTTAAATCATTACTTACATTCACTTCAATGTCTTTCACTGAAAATCTGGATTTCTTGTTTATAAAAAATGAGTTTCTTTCGGTGTTCCTCTTTTCTCTCATTTTTTTTAATGTTTGGAGCAGCTGGGGTAAATCTGAAATAAAGGCAAATTCAGAATACATTTCAACAATCAACCCAGCAACTATGTTTAAAGGAAGGCACCAAAATAGGTGAAAGTGCTTTAATTCAATAAACCCAAATACTCAATCTACATGTATGTAATTTGACCCTGGCTAACTTAAAAATTGATGCCATTATATTGATTATAAAGATGCAGTCAGGGAATTTTCTTCTTGAAAATTCTTATTTCTGTCTTAATCGCAATTAAGCTGCAATAACCCTTAACTTAATTATTCTGAGGAAAAATAAAGTGTTTTACTCTATTCTAATAGCAGTAACACACACTTCTGGTACTTACTGAGAGTATTGCCTGGTCCTTCTGCTTAAGTGAGGCACTGTGCTTGTAGTTTTAGTCAATCTGGAGAACAGCGTGTGCGTGTCTTAGCCGCTTGAGATCTGCTGGGATATAGGGCGTCACATGGTATGCTGTTACTAGTAGCGATGTTATTCTGATCACTGTGTGGATCAAACTTCTCAATCGATGGTAAATTTATCGGCCTCGACATAATCTTCAATTTTTTGTAGAATCTCGACAATATTTCTGCTTCTTTGCACTTTTACTGTTTTCACCTCGTCGCCAATGTGATATTCTTGTTATCAAAATGAGAAGGCTAACGCAGTGGAGGTTTACTTACATACGCATTCACTTTATTTCACTACACGTGGACACTTATAGTAAGCGTCTGGGTCACATGATATATGAATATTTATGAGGATACTTCATCATGTTATCACTAAGCAGACTGTACTACTTGGGCCAGTGCTGCTTGTTTCAATACTTATAAAAATGTGTGGGGTTGCAGCTCTACAGGTCCCATAATTGAACAGCTTTATTGTGCAGCTGTGAAGAACTACATGTATTCAACCAGCTTGAGTCCATTGGGCTCCCATTATCCTGATAAGGGTTAAACCAATACTACCCAGGTGCTCCCTAGCACAAATGTATAGGACCAGCCTCTGCCAGTCCTTTTGAAGCTGTTCTTTATATCCACGGATGGTGAACTTGGCAGGGAGATTTCCTTCAGGGAGGTGTTCCACCACCTTGCCACTGTCATATGTCAGGCAGTATTCTCCCTCTTCCATTTCATGCCCATTGTGGGCTCTATGTTTGGCCAAACTGGCCTGCAAAGTTTCCTCTGTAGTCCAGCTTGGCCTTACAGGCACTTTCAGGGTCTTCCCCCTAAAAGGCTTCAAACTGCCATTATTAGGAATGAGAATTCCCACTCTGATCTGAAATACATGCGTGAAAAAGTAACATTATTCTTCTAGCAGCATTAGATGCAATTTCCTGGAAGGTGTTCCATAAACCACTAAATATTTGGTTGGATTAAAATGTTTTGATAAAAGAACATTTCAGGGAGATTTTGTAGTGATTGGATTAGTTGGCATTGGATGTAGGCAGTCATGCTTCTCATTTGTGATATAAAGTAGTATTCATGAACTTAGAAACATAAACATATTTTCTCATCCAGTTTTTTGTCTAGTACCTGAATGGATGGTAGTGGCAGATTAAATTCCAGATAACCAAATATTATGTGGTATATAAGATCCCCTAAAGAAGACTGGTTTAATTTTTTCAAAAAGTACTGAGACCTTAAGATTTTTTTAAAATTTACCTTTTAACCTTCTTAAATCATTACTTACATTCACTTCAATGTCCTTCACTGAAAATCTGGATTTCTTGTTTATAAAAAATGAGTTTCTTTCAGTGTTCCTCTTTTCTCTCATTTTTTTTAAATGTTTGGAGCAGCTAGGGTAAATCTGAAATAAAGGCAAATTCAGAATACATTTCAACAATCAACACCAGCCACTATGTTTAAAGGAAGGCACCAAAATAGGTGAAAGTACTTTAATTTTTAAATTTCAAGTTTTAAACCCAAATACTCAATCTACATGTATGTAATTTGACCCTGGCTAACTTAAAAATTGATGCCATTATATTGATTATAAAGATGCAGTCAGGGAATTGCAGCTGTACTTTATAGTCTTGAAAATTCTTATTTCTGTCTTAATCGCAATTAAGCTGCAATAACCCTTAACTTAATTATTCTGAGGAAAGATAAAGTGTTTTACTCTATTCTAATAGCAGTAACATACACTTCTAATACTTACTGAGAGTATTGCCTGGTCCTTCTGCTTAATGCCCCTATTTCACACAGACCACGAATCCCACGAATCGCCAGAAATCGACAAATTTCAGGATTCTAGGTTGAATCGTAATCAGTTCATGAAGTTCTTAGAAGATTCGTATATATTCGTAGGCAGTTCTTGCAAATCTTGATCAATCACGATTCAACCACGAATCCTGAAATTTGTCAATTCCTGGCGATTCGTGGGATTCGTGGTCTGTGTGAAATAGGGGCATAAGTGAGGCACTGTGCTTGTAGTTTTAGTCAATCTGGAGATCTAGAACAGCGTGTGCGTGTCTTAGCCGCTTGAGATCTGCTGGGATATAGGGCGTCACATGGTATGCTGTTACTTTTTCTGATTCCAGGATTATAATAAAAACTAAAAGTTAACAAGCTATGGCTGCCACAGACAACTGTAAGTTTAAATGTTAAGTCTGCTTATTATATGCAGCACCGAGGGAAGCTGAAACTTTTGAAAGGCTTATATAGCAAAATAAACTGTACATGTAAATTGGTTTATGTGTATTTTTCTGACCCTAGCACAGAGATTTTTCTCAACGTAATTTGAATTAAAACTTTTTAAGACTGGACTGTACTTTTCTTTTTCTTTTATTATTAATATTTCATTTTGATCTGGTTCTTTTTCTCTTATGAATTGCTCAACATATCTCCCAAAAGAGGCCATACTGTTCATGTGGTGTAATAAGGTGAGGTACTTAGTCATATAGTTATTTGTTTTTTACAGTGCATGCTTTCAATGACATTGACGACATTGATGGCAAGCAAAAAAAGGACCTTTTTTGTTGAACATGTTGGGTTCTAGAAGCAAGCCTCTATGTCCACCAAATCTCTAAATGGGCCCCACAGTCCCCCAGTTTTCAGAATGCAGATGCATGATAGTCCATAAGGTCTGGCAGAAAATTCGTCTACACATGATTTTCCATTTTCACAAATCACGAATGTAAAATATTTTGAGTGTTATGAACTCCAAATGTCACAAAGTAATTGTTTTTGGGTCTGCTAACTTCATATTCCTTGCACATATGTCATTTGATATTTGTTTTTTATCAATGTGGTGAGTTGGCCAGCCAATAGTAGCAGTCAAATTGACAACTACTCTCCTGTTACCTTGAACATTACTATCAATGGAAGACTAAAACGGCCTAAGTAAGTACAGGGCTGCTCCAAATCCAAGCAGGTTCCTACCATAAAGCCAAGGCCAAATTAGCCTTATTACCGGCAATATAAACCTTCCTATTGGTTAGAAGGGTATAAATTATCCTGAGAAGACAAAGAGTTACGCTTTTTACTGACCATTTATGAAAATTTGGCACATTTAGTGTGGTTAGTGGCCTTCAATATTTATTAATTTATAATCTTTTTATCAAAATCTGTAAACAGAAATGACACTTGCGAAAATGGAAATGGTTTAAAACGATATTGAGGGACACCTTACAGACTATCACTGGTATACTTAGTTATAATCTGAGTTTGTTTTATTTACTTATTAAGTTGCTACTTACCTTCCTTTTTTGGCTCAAGGAAACTGAGAGTTGAACTGTTGCCACTAAGGCCACTTACACCAGCTATGGCTGCACTTGCCACATCTACAATAATATTACCAAATTATTAATTAATATATTAATTGATATATTGTTGTTTAAATTTTAAAAATTGGTGAATGATCTATTGAAAATGAAAAGGAGATAACATTATTATTTCAATTAAGAATGACATTCTTACATTGCACCCAGTTTTGTCTGCATAACAAATAAAAAGACTGAAAACAAGTCCAGCTAATATAATAGATTTGTGAGGCCAATAAATTATAAATAAATCTTAATCATATGCACTTAGCTATATGCTAGATAATATAACTTATATTTAATGTCTTTAGCCTTTATTATTCAAAATAATCAATATTTTGAAAACTGTATCAAAAAAATTTTAAAATGTCCTTCCCAAACACTATTTGACACTTTTTCTGGATTAAATGTGTTTAAAAAATCATAGTTAGTTATCAAACCTAAAGTTTCTTTGGGATTCTGGTGTCTGGTTTCAGAAATTATACATTTATTAGCGGACCAAATCCCACAGAATGGCTATTACCAAGTTATTAGCAGTCTCTTGGAAATACCCTGTGATTTTAATTTAAACTTATGAGCAACAAACCAAGTAAAGTACCTCACCAAGACAAGAAATGGATCCCTTACATTTACAGTCAAAATTCATCGATATTATTGGAATAATCTTGTAATTTTCAGGCATGAAAAGAGATTTGTATTCTGCACTAAGATGTCACCTTATAACCATAAAAGTCTGAATCCAGATAGGTAGAACATGTTAGATAGAAAGAATATGCTTTACTTTCCTAAATTAATGATATCCAGAACCTATCTCTGTTAGAGTTTTCAAGCTGTCTGCTATTAATGGCAGTGATGTCTGCTATTAATGGCAGTGATTTGCCACAAAATGTGCAGCATAAAAAATTTTCAAACCCATAGGGCAATTCCTTGCCACAATAGGGACAATACATGGTATCACGCTGAAAGTATATAATTTTTTTTAGAAATCATAGAAATCACCCTAAAAGACTTGCACTGCATTCTGTAGACATGGGGAAACTGCTGGTCTAATTGGTAATGACCGCCTGAAAAGCCAAATGACCGACAAGAACTTTGCCACAAACATTTCACAGCTATCCTGATTTGGATCAAGAAATAACAGTGATTGGGAAGGTTTAAACCACCCATGGGACAATGGCCCCTCCTGGGTCACCCTAAATGGGCCATTTTGCATATCAATGGGCCATTTTTAAACATGACAAATATATTTGAAATATCTGTATCAATATTTTTGGGAATGATATGAGAAGGTTTTGCAGTTAAACTTTGTTAATATATTTATTTAGTTAAGACTTTTATTTGTCTTTTTCAATAAAACCATTACAATGCCTTCTTTACTGAACTTATTTGAAGACTAAATGAAAAAACAAAATGATCAGAAAACATGTAATACTCATTAGTAATTGGTTTTTATTTGATGAAACCATCAACAAGAGGTAAACAATCTAGATCTCTGAAAACCTTGATTTCTCAAAACTGAGAAAATGTAAATGAAGTTGTCCTCACATACTGTCTAGTACTTATTAATCAGTCTTACTGCAAGGAGATTTCATTACTTAATGAAGTAATCTCTTTTTCCTGTGCCACACATTCAGTGCATCCTCATAACTTATCTTACTCCCAAGAATCTTAACTCTTAGCAGGTGATTCGCAGAACATTTTCGTTTGGGTGCTGTCGTACTGGAGCTAGGGCCATAGTTGAAGCCATTGGGGTTTGAAACCTTGTGCGACCTGAGAGTAAGAGGTGCTAGCACTAGCAGTAACACTACTGTCAGTGTCACTACTAATCGTCGTAGTGCAAGGAGCGCTGCTCTCAGAAGTTGGTACATTTTCTTCCCCTGTCTCCTTTGAGACTTCTTTCTGAACGTTGGACGGACCCTTAGACAAAGCGGTTGAAGTACATAAACTAACAAATGTAGGCTGGTCTGGCGAGATTTTAAAAATTTTTTTCGGCAGCATTTTTCTTTTCACTTCATCAAAGTGCTGCTTGAAAAAATCCCATGTGCTTTCAGAACGAAAAGCAAGGTTACTTCTAATTGGATAAACATGACCTATAAACTGATGGGCCAATAAGATATCAGCTTTTATTTCATTAGCAAAGCTATTGGGGCGATGAGCTCATTGCTCTCGGCAAATACCATGCATAGAAACGAATCATACATAAAAATCGACTAATGGACCTGCAGCTGTCTCTGTGAGTTTTTCTCCGTGCGTTTTCTTTCTGTGGGTTTTCACAGCTTTTCCAAGATGTCCGCACTGAAAGAGGCATCTATTTCTGTCGTGTCAAGAAGTTTATGTGTTGTGTTGCGATTTTCTTTGGTGTTGCGTCGATAAGTTAAATGCATTGTGTTGCGATTTTTTTTTTTTTTAGTTGTGTTGAGATTGTGTTCGGTGTCGTGTTGAGTGTTTTGGTTGCTTGTTGTGGCACTTATACGCTTCCTTAGACTTGACCTCACTGGAGAATCTCTTCACTGTCTTTGCTTGCTTCAGTGCCCAACCAACAGGAACACTTTCTAAGCCTAAACTACCTGACACAGCACCTGTCACTCAACAACTCTAGGCACTCTTACTTCCCCAACTTTTCTGCCCATCTGACCTTAATTGTGTCATAAACAGTTTCCGTTCTTATTTCCATGGAGTGCTGGCCAAAAGCAATGTGGTTATTGAGTTCCATGTCAGAGTTGAAGGTTTTCAAGCCAAAGGATTAGCATTGAAATAGTTAACCTTTTCCTCTGATAAAGTGAGCTAATACTGTGTCCTTAGATTTTCCTGTGTCGTTCCGTGTACGAAAGTAAAGTTAGCAAAAAGAAATAGAGAGAAAGCCTTTTATATGCTGTGAAATGAAAACTGTTCAGTGCAGGGTGTGGTACAGGCATGTGACAGTGTGGTTATGTAAGTGCGGTGGCCTGTAACGTTATAATCAGTAGAGTGAGAGAGAGAAAGAGAGAGAAAATAAAGCTGGACAAAAGAGAAAGAACGGAAAATGTGCTGCGCATGAATAATAAGTAAACAAAGGACAAACTCAGATAAAAATAAATATCACGGGCAGTTACAATCTTATTTACCTGAAATTATCCATCTTGGCCCAAGGATACTACAGCAGTCACTTGCCACGATATGCCCTTCTTGGCAAACCATTCTTGCTGGCTTTCTCTAAATTTCCTCTTGCCTATATGATTTTCTGCCTGGCAAGATCTGTCTAAAAATGGGAGTGTCAAAAAAGGAACACACATTTTTTTTCAAGTGCTCCCAACATGCCGCATGCATTGGCTGCATTACACAACACCCGTGAATCAAATGATCGAATGTTATGCCCAATCAAAAGAACTGGGTTACTTTGATCAAGGAATCAAGTAAACTTCCACTGGCTGATCATGGTGGAAAATTTTTCCTCCCAGCACCTTATGCCAGTGATGTCAGAAGCCTCGGCAGTGATGCTCTTCTTAGGAATAACATACTCATTGAATGTTCCCATAGATCCCTGGGCTGCAATCTGCATAATATGAGCATTTGTTCCTAAAACAAAGTAGTAATGAATATATATATATATATATATATATATATATATATTGATTCATGTTGTTTACACTGTTGTGCCGGCCTAGCCTCATTCTGGATTTACATACATTATTCATGAGTTATTCAGGATAATATTAAGAGTGGAGAATTAAACAACAGAATGATGTTAATTTGAATGATGTAATTTTTTGGCAAGATGTGTCCTACAAGTACTGTTGTCACATAGTCAAACAGAAACTTTAAGGTTGTGCATCACTCACTTATGTGAAATTTGTGAGAATCAGCTGAATACTTTAGTAAGAAAGGTGGCTGACATTTCTAATATTAGATTACCCATAATTCAGAGATAAAGGTAGTATGACCAATTTTCATGGCCTTGGTGGGAATATTCCTATCACGTTTCATGAAAATTAGTCCACTTCTGGAAATTTATCACTTTGTGAGGTTGTAATCCTTCAAAAGGTTTTCCAATGCAGTGTGGTTAACTGGGGTAACAATGCTCTGGTCCAAAGGTAAAGCAGGCTTATTAATTTGGATAATTTCCTGAATTGGGTTAGATGAATTTTTTGTGGAATTTGGGTCTGAAAATTTGGGATTTTTGGTGGCTAGAAAAGTTGTTGGGGAAGGGTTTTCTGGGGTAAGGGAAAGTGGAGTGCCTGGCTCCAGTTGAGCGGCATAAAGAGAGGGGGTGGTCTCTGTTGCACAGATAGCATTTGTGCTGGTATCTGCAATGTGTGAATGAGCATTTTCCGCTATTGAAGTTTTTACAAACCTCGGGGGGACGAAAATTGTCCAATTTTGGGGTCCCAAGTGAGTGGCCATAAACTACCGGGTCTTCCTCTTCCCATTTGATGCCTTCGCTGGCTCGTTTTTGACGGAATCTTTCGTCATAAGCCCTCCAATTGGCTACTTTATTTGGGAACATCGCAATGACCCTGTGGGCATAGACTAAAAGGGGGATGGCTTGGTCTGGGAATTTTTGCAGGTAGATGGCCGAGAAGATTTGCCATGCTTGGCACCACTGGAGTGAGGTCAGATCAGATTTTCTGAGGGAAGGGGAGAGGATCAACGTGATCTGGCCTTCCTCGTTTCGTTCAGTCTGTGTAGAGAGGTTTTCAGTTTTATCCTCCCTGCCTGGAGCCAAAGAGTCAGGGGGAAGGAGGTCTTTTAGGTTTATGAAATCGTCATCCCAAATTTTCAATCTCAATTTATTGTTCACGTGGTGGTCTATTGGGGTTTTGGGAATTTTCTTACCTTGGGGGTCTGGAAATTGAGCCGATCCATACATCAAATCATTTTGTGGCATCTGTGGAGCAAAGTTTTGGTGAGGCATTTGGTATGGGGCGGTGTAATGGGGGGGGGAAGGTTGGGGGGGCATGGAATTTGATTGAAAGTAGGGGGATGGGTTCACAGGGAGACCCATAGCTGGGTTGGGAGGATAGATTGGGCCTGTTTGGGACACAGTTGGGGCCACTGTTGTTTGAGAGTGAGGGAGGTTTTGATATGGGTAAGGAGAGAAGTGAGGGGGGTTTGCCATGTTTGTTGTGGACTGACTGGGGGGTAGGCCTTGAGAGGAGGGATGGGGGGTATTGATACCGCTGGGACCTGGCTGGGGGCCTTGGAGGAGCGAGGGAGGGGGTGGGGCTAGGCTGCTTCCCATATGATGAACATATGGGAGGCTTTGGGAGCTTGAGACTGAGTAGACTTGGGGGCTTGTTAACGGGCGAGGCTGCACCGAGGTGGCTGCTGTTGTTGCTGTGTTGGGGACCGATGGCTGTGAGATCCCCAGAGTGCTTTGAACTAGGTTGGTCACTGTGGCCGGGTGTGTGAAGAAGGGTCTGCTGGGTCCCGGTGTCGTCGCGGTGGTAGCTACTTCCGCTGTTTGGTTGTAGGTTGGAGGCTGTGGGTTCCCCAGAGTGCTTGAACTTAGGCTGGATGCTGGGGCTGGGTGAGTGTTGTAAGGGGTGCTGGGTCCGGGTGTCATGGCCCAGAACATCGCTTCTCCCAGTGATGGTAGACCTGGGGGTTGTTCCATGATTGAGAGCTAAAATGAAAGAAAGGAAGAATAGACTCCGTATGGCAGAGAAAAGAGAGATAGTTGAGCCCTGCCAGCTCAGAGAAAGGTAATTAGTAAAGAGTAATAGGGGGTATGGTTAGTGACGTTGCCAGTGCTACTAGCATGATTCTAATTATAGAGCAGCGTATGTCATAAAAGTTGAATGTAAAACTCAATCGTGCTGATTGAAAATGAAATGATATGAATAAGCAGTTTACGAATTGTCGGCGCATGAGTGGTTATATAAGTCAGTACGTGTATTCATAGAATTGTATATGCTCGCCTATAAAGAAAGGAGCGGCCACGTGCTGCGGCCCTGTAATTAGTTTTATGCTACAACGTGTAGCATGTATTAACAATGGGCTACCTGCTGCAGCCAAATGTTCTAGGTGTCAATCTAAGTAGCGGTGCAGTGCAGTGCCTAGATATAATGTGTCTATTGTATAGTTTGATAATACATTTTCCGGGTGCATGCAGCGAGTAAATTATGCGTAATTTTCTGTGAACCCTTTAAAAATCAATTACTAGTGATATTTGGGTGATCTTATGGTAAGGGAGGCTTAAACTATATTTAGTTTGCAGCAAGCTGCTCTCATACTAGCTGAGAATTTATAATCTATGAAGCTGAAGGTATTTTCCCAAATAGCATTGAATATGCCAACTTACTCTTGCTTACGGTGAGCACAGCACCTCTGAACGATCGCCAGAGCATGTTCGAGCCTTTCGCATTCATATGTACTCCGTCTGGTAGTAAGTTTCCTGCCCAGTTGACGGTGGCCCCCACGTGGCGCAGATAATGAATATTATCCTGGCCTTTAAAGTTTTCCTTCATGGCAGTGTTGACTTTAGCTACCGTAAGATTGTATCTGTCTTGGTCCTCTCTAGTTGGCAGGTAACCACAGCTGGGGGAGGATCTGTAAAGCAGTTGGCCCCAGAACATTGTTAGGTGGGGGAAGCGCTCCAGAATCCTGAGGTTCAATAATACGATCTTGTCCATCATCTTTGGCGGGTCAAATGGTGATCCCCTCACATCGTTTCCTCCAACTTGGAACAGAAGCACATCAGTCATCCTTAGGGTGTGGAAAAAGTCCTCGCTCTGTAAGAAGTGTTCGATGCGAGCCCCACTCCTTCCATAGAAGATGACATGGTACAGTGATGGGTCCAGGTTGAGGTTTGACGGGGAATCCTGTTCCAAACGTTTGATAAGGCTATGCCCAGCAATGACAATTTTCATGTTGAAAGAGGCTAAGGAGTACACTAAGGTGTCTGAAAGAAATAGACTAGGATATAAGCATGCAATGTCTATGTAACTAATTGTCTGGAGTACAGCAAAATCAGATTTTTTTTTTTTTTTTTTTTTTAATTGACTAATAGACTAGGATATAGGCATGCAATGTCTACGTAACTAATTGTTTAGAGTACGGCAAAATAACAGTTTTTTTTTTTTTTGCGTGTGTTGTTCATGTGCGTTTGAGCGCCTGTAAGTGTTGACATGCTTGTAAGGCAACAGGTGTCTGTTGAAATGTTTGAAGAAAGGCTAAGCATGCAACTAATTTCCTGTCAAAATAGACCTTAGGTCATAAAGGCTAATGATGTTTGGCCATAAAGATTGTGATCTTTGGGAGCATGATCCCTTGGAGTCGCTAAGTGACCATCCGCCATGTGTTGGTAATTATCGGTTATGTAAGCGGAGAACGCTGGCGCCATGTTGCCTTGTGTTATGAATAAGAGCTGCGAGTTTCGGAGCAGCGTATGTGGTGAATACATGGGTACTGGTTTCCGTATTTTGAGTGGGCAAGTACTAAACAGCAATGAACCTAACTTAGCGTCGGTGTGATGGAACTAAGCAATGTATCGCCGTGAAAACTGAACTAAACTCGATTGTTGAGGAACGTTCGCCATATTGGATGACTAAATTATGAGGCGGAGTTTATGAAACTCCTTTTAACTAAGCGAAAATAATCAACCAGGCAGATTGTTATAGTCAAATGGCCTTAAAGTCCTGTCGGCACCACTTTAGGAGGGTTTCCCTGTCGAAAAGAGGGTAACGTAAGAAATACAACGGGAGAAATTCCCTTGTGCGTACCGCACTGGATAAAGTTTTAAAACGCGGCGTATATAGCACGCTGTTATTGCTACACGCATATAGTGTAATAGATAATCTAGTCTGGGTAAAGTGCCGAGAGGATTTTAGCAGCCTAAAAATTGAATCACAAGGATTTGTCGCTTACCCTTACTTGTTATTCTGGTACACTGGTCAAATCGGTAATGGCTGGTTGAATGCGTCTAGTCGGCTTGGTGGCAGGCTAGCAAGTGATATCCTGGGTATTGCCTCGATTAAACCTCGCTCTATTTGGTCACGTGGTACGAAACTCGCGACGCGATTTGTTACATTGCTAGTCATATGACTTATGATGTAATATTGTTTACAACAGCAGCTGCAGGAAGCGACTCAGCAGTGACCCCTCATCTTGATAAATCCGATTATGGACAGGCAATAATCTTTATGTACTAATTTAATTGTTACAATTGTGCACCAGGCTTTCTTAGATCACTGCCAGTACGTCTCATGTCTGGCTATAAACAATGTAGACTAACCTTTTCACCATCCTGATCTATTTTTAATGGATTTTGTATGGGCCTGATGTAAGCTTTTGCCTGAACCAGAGAATCTCTTAGATTTTTTGGTGTGTATGGCCCAAGCAGGTCTTCCAGAGACTTTGTGTCATTTTCCACTGACAAGATCTCGATTCCCCCAGAATCTTTTAGTTTCGGATATTCACTTTCTGTAATGGTTTCTCTGCCTCTCACACGGTTCCCCACAGGTTCATTATCAATTCCAAACTTCATAGCAGGTGTCTCTATGTTCTTTTGTTTGAGAGGCTGAGTTGCAAGAGTGTCATGGTTAGCTCTTCTCATGTAAATGTCTTTGAAGTGGGAGAAGTCAGGTGGTGTTTTCTCAAGTCATGCCAGGTTTTATTCATGCTCTGATTACGAGTCTCCTTTTCAATATCCATTGCCCCATTTTCAGAGTCTGAAAGTCTTGTATAGACATCATACTCTTCCTTTTGAAACACAAAACTGAACTCCCTTGTGTAATGTGGAAATTAGAAAAAGGTTGATTGACATGATTTATGATATCAGAAGTGATGTCTTCTATTTTCTGCTGATAAGCCAGTGGAGATCATGTGGGTACCGTGCCAGATGTGTGGTTTCAGTTATGTTGCTTGCTCTCATTTCACAGATGAAATCATGCAAATATTCCTTAATATTTGTGGCTTACTATCTTTACTAAAAAGACCAACTGTAAAAGGCAAGAATTGCTCTGTATAAGCTAGTCTACAAAGAATTGACCAAAACTGAGAATTGGAGCTTCTTAACGAGGGAACAGCATCAATATTGATTGGAATACTGACTTTATCAATGTGCAAGAACTTGGCTAAAGAGTATCACCAATCTGTGGTACCAAGCTTTGTTTAGTTTTTTCAGGGACATGTGGGCTTCATTTTCTGTTGGATTTCTCTATTCCCCATATTCTCCGTATTCTCTTTCGCTGCAGCCGTATGTCCCTCACTTATTTGGTGGTCCTTTATTGTTGTCCTCTTAAAATTTGTGCATCCCAGCACCAAAGACTCCTTTGAATATTTCCTGGGCATTCCCGTCTGGCAACTTAACAGTACCAGTGTTCTCCACAACTTGAAATTATAAGGTGGGGGAAGAGCAGTTATAGTGAGGGTCTCCGGAAGCGAGGGCCAAAGGAACTCGCCATGCTAGGGGGGTCCGGGGGCATGCTCCCCCAGGAAAATTTTGAAAAATTGGTGCAAATACCTGCATTCTGGGCAATTTTAGAAGTCTAAAAGGTCATTTTTATGGTAAGAGAATTCATCATTTCTTTAATGATAACTATGATCATTTTGTAGATGTTCCTGTGTCAAGTTTTACTTTATATAAACAATAGTCATGGCTCTGAATTAAAATTCACTTTTATTTTTGAATAAATCTCTGAAACATACGGCATTTCACATTGTTTTTATGTGAGAACTGTGAGACACCTGATGCATGGTGGACTGTTTATGTCTCTTAATAGTGTCTTCTCTGTACGTCTGGCACCCAACTTTGGTCCAGATGTCAGTGCCTTTCTTGGACCTTTGACCATGGCTTGAACACCAGGCACAAAACATACCTGAAACAATGCATTTCTATTGTTAAACAATGGTATTTGATGTTTATGTAGCATTACATAATAATTTAACGACGCAACGATCTTCCGTCGGACATATATACGATAGCATCGACGTTGCTGCCTTTGCCCTGCTCTAAATGACTGTGAATGAACTTTTATTGATATTTAAATTAACAAATGGGTTCAAAGTCTCGTAAAGCTTCTCACATTTTAAAAATAATCTAATCATTCCGGATTAAAAACGTATGAATACATCATCTCATTGGGATTGCTCACGTTCAAGTGGATTGCGGGAAGGGCAGGTCTAATATTCAAGACTGTCAATCTACTTCCTTATACAAGCATAAAGGCGGGGTAAACGGAGCACGTGACAAAACCAGCCTATCCCAATGCAAGACTACTTTTCACAAACGTCATTCATGAAGAGCACATGGTCGAAACTGGCTAAAACTGCCTACGTGATTGGTAAATGTACAATGTATCTTTTCGATATATTAGCGACCACGTTTTCTTGTAATACGAAAGAAATACATATGTATTAAAGCAACATCCCTGACATTAAAGTGATTGGTTTGGTTTTATTTTCCAGTTGCATATAGATTCCAGTAAGTAATGAGGTAACAAACGCAAGATATGGTGAAATTTATAAAATTTTATAACGTTAATGATGAATAATGTAGTCAACTTACCTTCATCGGGTTCATGTCAAAGCCATGTATACTTCTTCAACCACGGAGCGTAAAACTCCGTCCTATGTTTGGATTTTTTAGGTGCTGGTTCGCTGGTCGTTTCGTCATTTACCTGTACGGATGTATCCACTAATTTGTTTGATGAATGTGACTCTCCGTGGGTTTTAAAAAAAGACGTCAACGTGCTCTGCTTTGACGCCATTGCTTAGAGATCTTACGTGTTTCTATATTTAATTTTTTTTTTGCAATAAAATTCTGTAATAGTCGGTAGATAAGGCGGGGTAAATGGAGCACTTGACAAAATCAGTCTATCGCTATGACTACTTTTCACAAACGTCATCCGTGAAGAGCACATGGTCCAAATTGGCTACAACTGCGTACGTGAGCGGCAAATGTACTATGTATCTTTTCGATATGTTAGTGTCAAAGTGATGCAAAAACGACAGTCAAGCCAATCAAGTTCAAGTTTAATATCTCACTTTTCTACAAGAAAATAATCTGAAGGTCTGCTCATTGCTCAAAATAATGGTGGCGGGCCGTTTACATAAGGTGGCACAAAACTCAATAAGGTGGCACAGCGCCACCTGAAAACAGGTCGTAGAGAACACTGAGTACTAAGGGTTCCTTAGGTCGACCTGCAGGCCTGACAAAACATGGCCTTGCAATCATAAATAGCCCACAGAACGTCTTTTTCACAAGCTGTTTGAAAGGATATTTCTATTTAATTACTTTATTATTATTTATTTATTTTTTATTTTATTTTATTTATTAATTTATTATTATTATTATTTTTTTTTTTTTTGAAAAGTTGTCTTTAATAATGAAAAATGCTTTGCCCTGATATTTATACTTCGTTTTTTCTACATGTTCTGTCAAGATGTATTGAAGATGATCAGTAGTTTGGCTTTGCTGTAGTGTATCATCAGTTTTGACCACCCATGCAAGTTTTTAAAAAATATGGATGTTTCATAGAGCTGTCAGGATACTGAATCTTACTGAGGGTGTATATCTGATTATCATCTGCAAAAATTTGAAGCCAATTTTGTGGATGTGTAATTTTTCTAATTGATATAGTGTAGGTGCAGAATTTCAAATATAAATTTTAAAGATGCACTAGCAAATGAAAAACAACTACTACTTATGTGGAAGTGCAGTTATTTAATTATGCATTTGAACCCTTGGCTTAGATATCAAGGAGGAAAGTGTTTGTGTCAGAACTGTTTTGATAAGAATGACACTAAAATGAAAGATCATCTCTTTTATTATTTAACTTGCCTTTTTTATTTAAAGCTACTGCTTTAGCTTTATACATCATAGTGCAAAGACATTGTATATTTTCATTAGTGTAATATTGTTTTACAAGAAACAGCCATTTATCCTTTAATTTTGTCTACCAAGATAAAAGCTGAGGTTACTGCCATTTAAATATAATGGCATCAATTTTACACGCAATTTACTTACACTTTTTGAAATTAAAAGAGCGTGAAATAAATACAACTGTACTAGTCTTACAATTTGTACATAATGTCTTTTTTTTTTTTAAATAAAATTTGACACCCAACTATCTTGTTGTGATTACTCTTAAAATAAAGGACCACATGTTTATAACTGCATTGTTATTAAATTGTGCAATATTTCTCAGTAAATAAAGACATACGTTCCCCAGTGGGTCAACTGAGAAATTATCTTCTGGTTTACACAACTTATGTTATCTGCTGCCTATGCAAAAAATTCCTCACAGACTGCAAGACTAGGAAATATTTATTCTCCTGTCTAATGGATTTTGATTCCATGCTCACCAACATTGAAAACCAAGAAAAAATAGAAGCAGCCCTAAGATGCAATAATATCCAGCAGCCACAGATGAGGATCCGGCAGTGGTAGTTGGATAATCATCCACAACATGTATTTTCCATCCCAGGAACCTGTGAGTGTAGCACTAAAACGAAATGTATTCATTCCACATATTGATATTTTGACTGTCATGAGAAAAGTCAATTTAGATAATGCAGAAGAACAAAACATTTCTTTTAAACAGTTGTGTAAGGGAGTTGATGGGTATTTGTGAGGTATTGGACTTAAAATTCTAGAAATTTATATGAGCATGATACAAAATCTTAAAGCAAATTTTGATGCTTATAACATACCAAGTGTATCTGATGTATTCAATTTTGATGAACTGTAAAACTTTATTGAACAAGCTCCTGTTTGTGTATTAAAATCCTATAAGAGACTTCAGAATCTACCTGGTAATACACAGTATCTGGGGTGTTTTTATCTGGAGTCCAATGGAATACACCCACTGTGCCATTTACTGAACATCTCAGTCTAAGACCTTTGAAAAATTCGTCAAATGTTGCTGCATCGATGTTGGTGTTAGAAGTGACTTCCCATTCACACAGTCTTCCAACTGGAATTGACATGAATATCAAAAGTTTCAACTGTAGTCTTTTTTATTATGTGTACAGACATATCTGTTTCCTGTTGTCCACATGGTTGTTGCCATGCACTTTTAACTGTGTTTGCAATTCTTCTTAGATTTATTAAAAATTATTTTAAATGTTTAGTGCATCAAATTTTAAAAGACCATCCTTACCTTGGTAATCCACAGGATGTTGGGATTCATTTCTGCCTGGGAATATTTTAACAGCCTGAAATATGAAGTTTTTTATATAACCTTACTTGGTACGTTTACCTGTTCAGGTGAAAGAACTTTGCAGTCAATAAGAAGAAAATATAGCTATTCTCGTAGAGATTTAATTTGTAGTGTAAATAATTGAAACTGGAATTATTCTTAGTATCCCTGTGGCATGGAAGAGTACATCAATGTCTCTTAATGTATTCATTACTTCACATATTAAAAAATAAATAAAAACCATAAATTACTAAAAAACATGACACAAATTATGTGCCATGCAAATTTTTCATTTATTATATTATTTCATATTTTTGTCATTAATATATTTTCATATATACTTATTTGTTTTTGCTATAAAATAAGAATTATTGCTTTAATGTGTATACCTCTCTCTGTGCAGGTGTGGTATATTGGCTATAGCCTCCAGATGAATCATCTGTGATATAAAATGGATGGTACTTGGCCTGGTTTGCATCAGAGTCACCAGACTCCACCAGGAATGTATAATTCTCCCCTCTTTTAAGTGTCAATTCTGGGATGATGCTGTCATTTATGTACAAGGCAATGCCCCATGAAGTACGTCCTAAAAGTAAGAAGACAATGCTGATATTTTACATTGACAACAATTACATTGACTCATATTAATGAAATTCGTTCCATCATGAATAAAAGTTGATAGTCATTAGGTCTTTATGAAGTACCAGTACCATGTAGCTTCTCCAAAAAGTAACTTTTTATTAAACCAATGTTTCAAAATGTTTAGTATTATTTGAAACCTTTGCAACCGAACACTAATGAAAGGAGACCATAAATTGCCTTCAACCATTTGATGCAATATTTGGCCAACTTAGTGCTGTACTGCGACTACAAGCAATTAAACATTGAGATGTCAGTCATATGTATTTTATATTACTACTGACACAACCATTTGGCAAGTGCACAGTGCATACTAAATATGTTTTATACCACAGTATTTATCAAAATCAAAAGACTGGTGTTGTGTGTTAATATATATCTATTGTATTTGGCGGTCATTTAGAAATTTTCATGTTTCCCATGCAGGGACTGTTTTGGACTGAAAGCACTATGATGTTTTGCAAACTTCAAGGAAATGCAGGGTGAAAAATTTAATTCTGCAGTTGCAATTTTGTACAATTTAATCCCCAAAATTAAAATGGGCTATCTAATTTGGACTTTATATATATATTATATTAGATGGTGTACTTGTTACATACTAAAGTGTCCCTCACCTGTAATTGCTTTGTACCCTCTGTCAGAACCAGCTGGACCAATTCTCACAGTGAAAACTTTCCCATCAGCACCACTCAATTTCTTGACAGTCCATGGGGCTTTTCCTTCATTAGAGCCTTTATTTGTAAGTGTTGGGCAGTTATATCTGGTATTTCTTCCAAACTGCAATTTCTGACTCCCTATATAACAGTTTTGATATATAAAGATCAGCATATTCTGTCAATTGCATTACCTATTAGTATTTAAAATACCCAGTTATAATATAATTTTGTCAATTTGACAAATACAATTTATCATATGCATCATGTTTGCAGACCATTTTAATAGATGCATAATATGGAGAAGAACATCTCTTCAAGAGCCAGCTCACAAAGATTTAGTTTGTCAAAATTTTTTTTACATTTTATGGGACCCAAATACCTGTTTCAGATTTACTGAAAATAAAATAATTGTAATTGTGTTAAAATGTTTGCTTCTTTTTAGCACTGTAAAATTGTTGAATTTATAAGAGAAATCCATCTAACCTTTTCAAATTTCTCATTTGAAATGGTATTAAATATAAGGTATATTTGTACCTGTAGTCCGAACAGTATGGTAAGCTGCCCGTTTATCAGGATTGATGGGACCAATGGCCCAGGCAAGGTACATCTCTCTATCAAGACGGATCGGTTTATCAGTTGCTTCACCTGAATTAGTAGATATTGAAATGCCTTATAACAGTATGAATATTAAAATTCTAATTAAAAAAATGTTTATTGTCCATAACTTATCACAAATAATTTTATTCAAATCTTTATCAATCTTATCAATCTTTGTCCAAGAGTGACAGAAATGGAAATAATTTTGTTTCAAAATCTGCTTTCCTAAATCTATACATAGCTTTTATCTGATTCAATGAAAAAATTAATATTAATATACCAGTATTCAATGGTCTTGTAAATCTGATGCGAGTAATGCCATTCATTTGGTCTCCACTGACATCATTAACACTCTCTGTCCCTGGGGTGGAGTTTTCAATGTCTGGACACACTCCAACACCATTGGAACACTTAAAACATCAATGTACATTAATGTATATACCCTGTATATAGTAATGGACAGTGCATTTATGGACACATATTGAGTAAACATTAACACAATTTAGTCAAAATCTATATACCCTGATGTTAAGTGGGCCTCCTAAGATAAATATGATGGAATGGAGCATGGACAAAATCTAAGTATTAAACTGATGGGAAAACTGCCAACCTGGCTCTTGGCTGACATGTAGTAATCCACAGCTCTGGGTCCAGTCTGGCTGTCGTACCATGCCACAGTCACATCAGCACCAATCATCTGAGTCCCCGTGTCAGAGCCGCTCAGACCAAATGCCATGTAATCCTCGTCAGCTGAAATTAACTTTGTTTTACAAAATAGGCAACACAGAATTTTGGAGTTGCAATATTGACAGATACCATATGCTGTGTTTAGGTGAGGCAGATGAAACAGTATGCTTTTCATATAAAAAAGAGTACTTGATTTTTGTGAATATGTGACTTTTTGAAAATAATACATACCAATGATTCCGGTGAGTTCCAGCGTGATATGTGAGACATTTACAGCCCAGGCAACATGAAACTTCTCAGTGAGAGGTTCACAGTTCATACTTGACATACCCTGAATACATGAATATATACATTCAAAGATTCTGACAATGATAATAGAATAAAAGATCACAAACATATATATAAGTGTATACTCGCCTATGTATATCAAAATTATAATTTTACTTTAAAACTAACAGACAAGGTATCAGTTTTTACATGCCCAGTTTTTGCTACTAGTTAACATATAAAGTGAGCATTGAGTCACCTAGCTATTTGGCATGCTGTGAAAACACCAGCCAATCTCCATTCTATATGTCCATAGTGCATTCAATTTCAAGCATCTTCTTTTCAAATCTCACATAGTTATATTTTATTGAAAAGAGAGTTTTACACAGAGGGCAGTAAAATAATTATCAATTACAGAGTGTCCCTCAAATGCTTACCTGGTCTGCTATGTATGGGGGTACATTAAGATTGGCTGGAATCAGAACATGGCCAAAGTTGGCATTAAAGTCTATGCACCACATACTGAGCCAGTTGATATCGAACACTGTGAGATCACCAGGGAGACGAATTTGTATGGTTTCACCAGTATATCTCTTCAGTCTAGTTAAACTGAAAATTCAAATTTAATTTAATGAATAATTTCCTGAATTTATTTCCATTTACCTTATAAATAATAACTGATGGATTTTGAAGATTACGGTGAAAATGTTAAATTAAAATAGACACCACTTTGACTTGAAATTTTAGCAGGAAATTATTTTTGTATACCTGCCATCTTCATCTGGGACTTTCAATCCAGTGGAATCTGGTCTGGGACCAGTCCCAACCCAGAAAAATGCAGCTGAAAAAAAAACAGTAACAATGATTTTTATAGCAGTCAACCAAAAAGCTGTGCATTCAAACAAACAAAAATGTATAAGCTACTGAAATTTCATTATCAGTCTCTCCTTTTCCTCAGGTGGTGCATTGCTGAGCTGACACTTGTCTGATCACAGCAACTGACTGGTAACTGTCATTAGGGGCCTGCTTCACAAAGGAAAGTGTTAACCATGTTTTTCTTAAACGGGTATAATGTTTTTTTTTTTCATTGAACTGCTGATTTCTTTTAAAAATAAGATAAACTTTGGTTTAAAAGTTCATATGAATTTTTATGTCTCCTCATTACTATCATATTCACAAAAATTGTATTCATATTTTCATTTTCATTTTCATATGTTACAGTGAGATAAACTAAACTTAAATATTAATCCAAGCCAAAGGATAGGTAAATGACAAACACAGATAAATAGTGTTCGAAATTTGGCCGGTAGTGGCCGCTTTTATTGAAAGGTCCCTCTATTAAAGAATGGTGTTAGATATTGTATAGCATTAAATAATGTTAATTAGTTAAAATTACGTAATGTTATCTCTTTAAAATAAATATCAAAACAAATAGTGCAAATATTTTCATTCCAACCTTGTGTAACCACACAACACAGGTTGAGATGTCAAGAATCACTTCCTGTATATCTCATAAATACCACCTTTGTATGTATAATTAGTTATTAGTTGAAACTATGTAAATGCACTATTTTTTCATATATATATATTAACTAACCTGGGCCCAGGCCATCATAGTGCAATGCAGGAATCAAAAAAGTCTTGGCATCCAGAACAGTGATATCACCTGACCGCAAACCATGCTGAAAGCGTGAAAATTCCCCAATATTTGTGGGCCTTGGAGGAACAAAGTTTGCTGGGAAAATCACATGACCAAAATCAGCCTATAATGGAAAACCAGTTTTGTTAACATAAATCTTAAGAATTATACCATTTGGTTGTTATACAAGGTAACATATACAGGTATACAGGAGTATGTATTTCAATAACTTTTAATTTATTAATTCAATTCATAAACTCTTTCAAACATGTAGTCACAGTTTGTCCTTCAAGTAATGTTAAGTACAATTTGTTTGCTTTGGGAATACCTACAAGTTAGACATAAAGCTTCAGTTTTCATGTTAACACCTGGGGCTTAACAGCATAATTCATAAGAATGTATCCATTTATGATTCATTAGGTCAACCCTTTGACCTTAATCTTCTGATATATATAAAATAATTAAGTAAAACTTAACAGAGTCTTCTTTACTTACAGCAAATTGAACACACCACACTGACAACCACTTGATTTGTTGCAAGGTGTAGCCACTGGGCAGAGTCAATATGATATCTGCATTGTTATACGCAGAGAGAATTCCAGGACTGAAAAGTTAAATAAATGCATTCTTGTTTTACTTGATCTAGGTATTTTCTAAGTATATATGTATATACTTGAAGTGCTTTTATGAGAGGCCACATGAGTGCATACAGACAGCAATAAATACTAGCACACTGAAAGAGGTAACTGACAGGGGCACATGTAAATTATAAACACTGATCAAAATTTTCCTAAAATGCACCAGTTCAGTTTGAAAGGATTTAATGGAGGGAATTCTCAGAGTACTTCATGAAACAAGTTTTGATCACCCTTTTGGTGATTTTCCTTAATACTAAACATTTTATGCAAACATTTTTTCTTGTTGCACTAATGAAAAATCAAATATTATCCTTTGCCATTATAAGAAGCCTCCCTTGGAAAATAAAATTTTAAAATTCTTTTCTTTTTTTTTTGTAATAATGAAGGTAAAGCTCTTTATACATGCTATATTTCATTATTTTAGTGACACAAAAATTTCACCAGGCATACCTTGGAAAAAATACTTCTTAATAAGTATTAACTGAAAGGAATCAACAAGAGGGAAAATTTAAAAATTATTACCTGTAAAATCCTTCATCATATTGATCATTATGCATGCCGAAAGACGAATAATTCTAGTAACAGACAGCTAGTATTAAATGGTAGCAGCCGGTGACTGCCTCCTGTGTCACCAAATTACTGCTGAATTACCTGCAGGGACATATCCAACAAGCACTTAATTTTCTACTCATTTCTTTTCCCAGCATATTTTAATCTTAAGATTAGAATCTTCAGATCAGCATTTTTTGTAGCATGCTATTTTCTTAAAGGGCTTAAATGGGAATTTTGGTCACTGAGACTATTTTTGTAAAAAAGTGAAGAACAGTATATTTGCAGTTTTTCATAAAGCATTGATAGGTATGTGAATCAGTTTTTTTGGGACTTAAATGAAAACTTGGTCACCTAGACTGTTTTTGTACACACAGTGAATAGATGGTGTTCTGACAAATCTACAGTTAAAGTGTTAGTTGGTATGCACTAGCAGATAATGGTTGGTGACACCTGGTAAAAAATAATTGGTATTTCTGTGGCAAAGTCCCAGAGGTATGTCAGCTACAAGCTCATTTATGATGACAATTAAGAAAGCAGGAACTCCAACTCCGAAGCAACTTTGGTAGTTAAAATATGTTGAAAACAAACCTATGACTGGGGAAAAACAAACATACTTGTACCATATAGATAGATAACAGAGAATTGCCTATATCTTTGTCCTCAAAAAACATGAAAAAGCCTACCCCAAGGTGGCACCTGCAGTTTTTTTATTGGAAAAATAAATTTATAGTAAAACTGTAGAGATACATGCAAGTTTCTAAAAAAAGGATCTGACTTGATCCTGACATTTTGTCTAGAAAAATTGATGACATATTGCTCTGAAAAACGAATAGAGCAAGACTGTTTTTAGTATATGTAGCTCTATATTTACCTTCCTTTTTCATCTGGAATTTTTATTCCTTGAGAATCGGGTGTAGCACTGGGGTTTGTGTGCAGGCCAATATAAAAATATGCATCTAGAAATAAAGACAAATATCGCATTGTTTTTGTGTAAATTGAAAGTGAAGGAACGGGAGAATTATATGAAAGACGTTAAATCTTCCGTGCCGATCAGTGAAACTACCTGCAATAGTGTCAATGCCATATTCTAGTGTACAAGTGTTATCTATGTACAAAGAATTCTTTATATAAACTGCTCTTCCATAACGTGACTAGTCTCATCAATGCGAATCCATACTGGTGTAAACCATCTATAAATAAAATGGCATTCCATACACTCCAAACTTGTTTTTGAACATTCTTGAAAACTGGACCCTACATTTGAGAAACATGCTAGAAGGAAAATATGACCATGTCTCCAGCATGCAATGTTTGGTATTCACTTAGCTGAAATATCGTAATGTTTGTAAGTGGCGTCAAATTTAATCAATATCGTTGGGTTCTACTCAGTAAATTCAAAAGGGTATAGTCATCAGCTTATTTGATAAAAAAAAGGCTCAAGTTTTTAGCTAATAATATACTACTTCAATAATTCTAACCAACCTGGTCCTTTGCCGTCATAGTTGAATCCAGTTATCCTTAATCGTTTTTCATCCACCGCGTACACCGTTCCCCTAACTTGATGAGCAAGCTCACTTAATGAGCCGATCAATTTACCTTGGTATGAAGTTGCAAGTGCAACTGAAATAAAAATGAAGACAAATAACTACGTGTTAAATGACATCTCTTTGTTACATCTAAAAAGCAATTTAATTAATATCATAAATATCATATGTCCAAGCTCTGAAGTACAATTTCACGACCCGTTTCACCTCTATAGGCTACTTTGAGTATAACGTTTGCAATATGACTAATGGCTTTATGAAGATGTGGTTCCATGGTCCCATGGCTGATTTATAACTAACCACGTTTATTAGTTACATATTTGTCACAATATTTTTTTTTATAATTATAATTTAGGTTTATTTATTTCTCCGTAATATATGTTATACATTGAATGTACAAGTATACATATCATAAATCATCAAACTCATGCCTGATTATTCATTATGTATCGTTTTTCATTCTAACTCTTTCTCATCTCCCTGGCGCTCAGGGTTAAGTGACACAATTATCAGTGCTACCTTCCCTACTTCAATCTCTATGTGCTGAGTGCTTAGCGAGGAGATAGCAGGTACCAGTTTCATAATGGCCTTTGGTATGACCCGGCCGGGATTGAACCCACGACCTCCGTCACCAAAGGCGAGCACTCTACCATTTGAGCCATTCGGTCCACCATTTGAGCCATTTGGTTCTGGTTTAACTGAGAATCTTTCTATTTTCTTGTGAAACACCAGTCGGCTCTCATTTTCCTTATCCCCCCCCCCCCCCCTCTGTCACATTTAAACGCTTGACAGGTGATATTCAAACATCCATACAGTTTATTACTTACCTGTAGAAAGAAATACCGCAGCAGCTAGTTGCGCGTACATTTTGGTGTCGAGTTAGTTTACCCTGTCTTAAATTTGACAGACCTCAGCAGAATCTGAAAGTCGTTCTACAGTTATAATATTACATTTATATATGACTCACTGTGTACAGGTACTGTACACAACTTCCTTGTGAATACAATAAATACAATCATTGTAGTCGTGACTTGGCTTGTGCTATAAATAATCTTACCTGTGATTGGTTTAGGCCAACTGAATGGGCGGTCACTTAAATTACGGCAAAATACTATATTTCTTTCTGAGAGGCAATCATTACTCAGCTATTTTTACATTACTCAGTCATTCTTACAATACATTGTACTAAAATTGTATGGGTGAATTGTGAAAATGTAGGCCCTACTCTATGCAATACAAATTTGGATATCCCGAAAATAAGCTATTTTCTTACTATTCGGAAACGCCTTAATTTCTCATTGCGTTTTTTCTCAGGTGCCTCGCCAGGTAAAATGCAATGTCACTCTAGCATCATGTTATGCCCTTTCGCAGTCTTTTTATGGCAACTTTCTAAATTATAATCATATCAATTTTGCTGACTTATTAAAGCAGTAATTGTCAATTTGCTATATCAGTAGACGAATATGCCTATAATGGAGCATTTAAATCAGAATGATATAACGAAAAATTCAATTCAATTGACTGTCCAGGGAAAATGGAAATATGTTATAATAGTACTGAAGATGTTAGGCGTTGTCCTGTGTATACATTCATTCAGTGCCCGGGGTTGTGTAGGCGCACCTTTTGGAAAATATGAATGAAAAATGATTATGATAGAGATGGAAACTGGAGAATTTCACATGTGGCGGTACAAATGAAAATTTTAAGGGCTCGAAAACGGGCTTTGGGTTTACATTTGCGATAAAGGTATTATTGCAGTTTTTTAGGAGATGAGAAAAGCACGCCAATCCCCCATTAAATAAAATATGAGAAAATCTCCAAATACATGTGCCTTGTGGTACTCATGCAGGGGCCAGTTTCACAAAAATATTTTACTCGAATATTGATTTCAACCTTACATCCCAAAATTCAGTCTACTCAAGTTCAAGCAAATTTATAGTATTGGTCTGAAACAGCAACCATGATTTATTTATTTTTATACAAACGCATTTTATATCCTCTTATTGGACTACCATTGATTTATCTTGGATCAATGTAGATTAAAAAATTTTCTCTAAGATTTAGATCAATTTTGGGACTATAGCTATTATGTGAAACTGGTCCCATGTATAAAATGCACGTGTCTTTTTATTCACATAGACGTATAACTGCAAGTAATTGCGAAAATAATGATGATGATGTTTAAGTTAAAAAATTGCGGTATTGTCAGATTTTTAGCATAAACAGGGAAATTGCAGCAGCGCATGAATCTTGATGAGATGCACTACTTTCCAACCCCGCTTAGGATCATCGCTATCACATGGCGCACCAGGCAAAATCGGTGTGGTGGCTGATACTTTGTAATGCGATCTGAAACACCTTGAAAACAGGTAGTGTGGACTGATATACCGGTTTATTCTGGATCTGTAGGTGCCGAGTCTGGTAGTTGGGTAGGCCTGAGTGCAATACGATTGCAAAATATTTTAGATAAATTGTTATATTGATTTTTTTCCAGTATCACGACTAAGCATTTTAATCATATTTTGTTTAAGTGTAAAAATGTCCTTATTGGACGTGGCTGATGTGTAACAGATAGATTGAGACTTCCGTTTATAAGTAAACAATTTTTGAGATGTCAAAGTATTCAGCCCGGCATTTTTATCCTTCCTTCTTTTGAACATGTTCTGGGAAACTGACACCATTTTTTAAATTAATTTATGATTTCAAACAGCTGAGAAACGGCATATTTCCACATTCAGTAACTGAACCGTCGATTTGATCCTCATGAGATGTCACTAAATATAAACAAGTAACAGTTTTATGATTTGTGATTATGTCTTTATCACTCACAATTAATAATAATAATAAGACAAGTGCATTTCATTTGTACGGACTCCTCCACTGCTGACAGTGATAACGTTAACGTAAACAAAGACATGTACACCGCAGCAAACACAAAATATTTTAAACATGTACAATCGATATCAATTTTGGCGTTCTTGGCAGTTCCAGTAAGGTGTTTACTCCTTTTTATAGTCTCGTCTTTTATCCTAAGTTTGACCAAGGCAAGTTTGACTCGAGTTCAGGTGTGGCCAAAATGCTGGGAGCAGCAGCTGTTGCCAACATGCGATTCATTGGATACCTCAGTTGTAATTTACTGAGTGCTGGGTACGCTGTCTGTAGTCAGTTTTAAAATAAATGTACTTATATGCGGTACCTGCAGTTGAGTGTTTGGAACCTTGGTTACTATTGACTGAGATCTTTTAACGGTAGCAGTTGTCAGAATAACAGTCGATATGCTAACAGTTTTTGTGCTTAGTGCAACTGTAGTAATCGTTTACGAAATTTGTACGGTATCTGCTGCAGGCAGAGTACTCGGTACCGGTGTAGTAGTTGACTGTGAATTTGGCATAGTATCTGCAACAGGCTGAGTGCTTGGTGCTGAAGTACTAGTCGACTGAGAAATTGGTACCGGAGTAGTGGTCGACTGTGAACGTGACACAGTATCTGCAACAGACTGAATGCTCGGTGCCGTAGTAGTAGTTGCCTGAGAAATTGGTACGGTATCTGCAACGGGCTGAGTGCTCGGTGCCGTAGTAGTAGGTGACTGTGAATTTGGCACGGTATATGCAACGGGCTGAGTACTTGGTACCGGGCTAGAAGTCGACTGTGAATTTGGCACCGTATCTGCGACGGGCTGAGTGCTCGGCACCGTTGTGGTAGTAGTAGGCTGAGGGGTTTGTATAGTAACTGTGGTAGGTGTTGTGCTGGGTGCAGTTACTGCAACAGGTGTTGTGGAAGGTTCTGCGGGCAAAGGCGGTGCCTTTGTCGCAACTTTAGTTTCTTTTCCAGGGAACTCGTCAACGATGTGGATTTTCCAACCAAGGTATTTGTGAGTGTAACACTGTAGGAAAAAAGTGATAAGTCTTATACTTATAAAAACTTATAAAAACTTGCATTATTTATCTTTTTAGTCATATAGTATTTATTCATTTATTCATTTGGGTCGGTGTAATGATTATTCAAACTAACCTATATAATTTTATACCAAAAAGCTGTTACCTGATAGTACACCGTGTCTGGGGTATTTCTATCTGGAGACCAGACAAATACTCCAGGTCGGCCCTCGTAGCACTTCAGTTTGAGATATTTCGAGTACTCTGCAAATGACTCTGCGTCTTGTGGTGCTCCTGTCTCCTGCTCCCATTCACACAGGCGCCCAACTTAGAAATCATGAAAAAAAGACAAAATTTTATTTCTCCTTGCCAAACTTTTCTTAAAACTGTCGCAATGATTTTTATATAAAAAAGTTGGGTTGCAGACAAATAACCATATATTCTTATTGCAGATAAGATTTTTAAAAAATTCAAAACCAGTCTTCCTTCCATGCCAATGCTCACCTTGGTAGTTCACGGTGGCACCCATGACATTTCGCCCAGGGAATATCTTTACCTTCTGTGATAAAAAGAGAAAAGATGGCATGTTGTAAATGTGTTCAATCCAGTGAAGGCCCTATGTATATCTGTACCCTTTACTAGGGCCACAGATTGATTTTTCACTAGATATTCACAGATATCTCTGGATAATTCATGGCACATTTCTCCACTGTGGTCAAGGGTAGAGGGTACTTATATCTGTGTCATTCAACACTTATGGAGAAATACAAAATTCATTTTAAACTCTGAAAACATTATTACAAGTTAAAAGTTAACATACAGTACAAAGTCGACACAAAGGTGACTTAAGTGCCACTTTATCCATCCTAACATCCAGGTCATGGCAATGTCTCTTCTGAACGCCATTTACATGTACCTTCAGTCATTTCTTTCTAGTATTTAGTTTAATTTTCTAAAACATCTCGGAATACGCTTTACCTGTCTTTGCTCGGGTGTCGTATACTGTATATAACCGCCCTCGGGATCGTCGGTTATGTAAAATGGGTGATAGTTTGCTTGATTGCTCTCCGTATGGCCTCCATTTATCAAAAATATATACGATACACCTCTCTTGAGAATCAGCTCAGGAATCAAAATATCGTTAATGTACCAAGCTATTCCCCACGACGGACGGCCTGTAAAATATGTAGTGAAATGAGGAGTCCATGGTTTCAAAAATCATAAATTGTGATGTTTCATACAAGGTATTATTGTATATGGATATTTTGTCTTTTATATGCCTGTTTCTTTTTTGGAAAATAAATATAACCAAAATCATGATATAATTATAAATCGAGAACCCGCTGTGGTTAATTCTTCTATTTCTAACATGGCTGGGATCTTTTTCAAGTCTCCCTCCAGCCACTCTTTCTCACGCACAATATAATACACACGCGAGCACACAAACGCACGCACGCACGCACTCGCGCGCGCACCCACCCACCCACACACACACACACACACACACACACACAGGCACCTTGATATTGTCCATACGATTAACTCTGTGTTCACTTCATTTCCCATTGTTACTCGATGTAATCTTGGCATGAACGACCACGATACTTATCAAAAAATGCAAATACTACCTACCTGTAATCCCTTCGTAACCTCTTTTCCCTCCTGTGGGTCCCAGCCTAGCAGTGAATATTCTGGTGTTCTCTCCACTTAGTGTTTGGGGAACCCAAGGTTTCTTTGGCTTTATGGTTGGTCGTAGTGTTTGGAATTCTGGACAGTTATTCACGGGGGGCCTACCAAAATTGATCATCAAGTCTCCTAGAATAAAAAATACCATTTAAAACGTATAGGAGCTTCGAATTTTTATTCATATTTATATACTTTTCTGAAATTGGCCCGGTTGAAGGTTACGTTATTCTGCAGTATTTTAATGGAATGCAGTGAAAGCTCGCCATATTTCTTTTAAAAAATCTCTTACACATGTTAGTGCTGTACAAGCACTTTCTCAAGCTGCCAGTTTGAAGACCATTTCTTACCTGGGGTTCTGACTGAATGTTTTAAGGGCAGTTTGTCTGCCGAGAGAGGCCCTATCGCCCAGGCTAGGTATGTGTTCTTGTCTGTCACAAAAATATTGTCTCCTGTATCACCTTGAAAGGAAATAACACCTGTAATTTTTAACTGATAAAAATTCCGTGCTTAAGTACTGAAATAAGAACCGGATTAGTAGTGAAATATTTTTATTTTATTTTGGACACACTCTCAAGACAACAGGAATTACGATAAAATTATTTGCAATGAAACAATGACAAAATTAACGGGTGGATTTTGGAACCACCACCCGTTATAATTCATGTTCTGCACCAACTTTATATATCTGTATGTTTCATATTTTATATTTAAAATTAATTATCCATTTTCTATAATCCGAGTCTATGCAATTAAGAAATAAATACTGTAAAGATTCACTGCAGATTCATACTAGATGCCAGTGGCCGAGTGTACTTGATGGTAGTTATGCCGTTGGCACGTTCTCCACTGACGACCTGGACGTCATTCTTCTCATTGGGTCTACTTGTGTCAGGGCACACGCCTACGCCATTGGAACACTGCAATTATTAGGTTATTTTATTTTTAAAATTTTATTATTTAATTTGTTGTTGGAAGTTATATCATTGACCCTTTCACTGAAGTTTTTTACAATGGAATATCGGGATGTACACGCTTATCATTATAATAATTAAAACTACTGAGCTGACTTAGCCATAACCTGTATCAACTTAATTCTGTAAATGTCGTCAAAATATTTAAGAGACCATGTAAAATAAAACAATTTGCTATACTTCATTTCAATTAGAATAGCATTGTATAAATACCTGGGAATATTGGGTAATGTAATAATCAACTGCCATGGGACCTGATTGTTCATCATACCACGTGATCACCACGTCAGCACCAATCATTTTCGTGCTGGTGTCAGAACCGCTTGGCCCAAATGACATGTAGTCACCGTTAGCTATAACATTTTGTTTTATACATATCAACATTTTGTTTAAAACCAGTAGACTGCACAAGTATCATTTCGGGGTAGTGATTAGACCATGCCTAGCTTACATAGGCCTAGTTTATATATTCAAATAATATTTAACAAAATTCAGCAGCTTTTTTTCATAAACGCTTGAAAGTACCAGTATAATTGAATGTATATCTAGAGAGAGAGAGGGGGGGGGAGAGTTACCGATTTGCCCTTTCAGTTCAATCATGACATGACTAGAATTTGTCTCCCAAGACACATGGAAATTGCTGGCCAGTGGTTCACAGTTTTTAACCAAAGAGGCGGTCTACAAAGAGATACACATAAGTCAATTTTACTCACATGTGATTGAGCGCACGCGGGTATACGCGCACACATACACACACACACACGTACACACACACATACACACACACACACACACACACACACTCAAAGGAAGAGAAAAAAGAATTAGGGATGCTAGTTTTGCATTATTGTTATAATATAACTATGTAAGCTAAATAAATAATAATGAATAACAATTCTATTTTTGAATGGCCGCTACAAAAAAAACTTTACACTTAGGATATATATTTCCATGCATAACTGAAAACTTCTCTGCGTGCATACGAAATTTAATTATTATAAGGCTATTTTCTATATTCGGTTTGATACTGCATTTTGAAAGCACAATATGAAGATTTCATTATATAATGGCTATCTTGGAAAGCTTTGGGCCCTGACAATGCTAAAGGGCGCTAAAGGCGAAACGTGTTAAAATGAACTTGCATCAAAAATAGACATTTTTGAAACGTTTATTATTAAAATCAATAAATCAAAAAATTTTAAAATATTATCAAGACGGTCATAATTAGCTTTTGGGGATTAAAAATTTAGAGACCAAAAAGGAGGTGAAACACAATTTCATCAGACAAAATACTTTGCAGTCTTTGCTGAGACTGATTTTTTTTATGATTTGTAACTTGTGTGCGAAACAGGCCCTAGGTGAGGGGAAGGGTTTTGATAAATTGAATTTTGAGTCTCACCTGGATTTCTCCCCGTTCACCCCTTCTCATTTAAAGAGGGACAACGATTGATTTTAAGCGCAACTGCAGTGAGTTATGACCACCCAGTAGGCAGAAAATCACTGAAGAAAACGTCTTTTTGCTGTCACATTTTGAATTAAATCTTTAAATCATAAATTGATGCACAGTTTTCCAGAACCTTCCCATGGTAAACAAAAGTATAAGAGTTGTATTGATAAATGCACGCTCTGGTGACCTTCATAACTTTAAAACACTGTTTACAGATTATGCAAATTCGAAACAATTCAATAGAAAGTAGGCTATATTTCACATATCATAACCAAATATTCATCCTGTTCAGACGATTTTTCAGTAATATAAAGATTGACAACTAAGCTTAAATGTCTATTTTTGCGCACCTTTAGTCGATCTCAGCGCCCTAAGGTATATTGACATAGCCGTTAGTATTTACCTTGAAATGAATCCAAATGCTAGCTTGTTGTACTAGTATTATCATAATACGATATCACACCGAATATAAGCTTTCGCATGAACAGAAGTTAAGCCTCTTTCAAGCTATGCCTCTGGCTCTTGAAAAAATCCGTTTCATATTGTATACCTGAGGAGTTGCCGCAGCTGTCACCTTGGGAGTGAACGGCGGGACATTCAATTCCAATGGAATGCTCACGTATCCAAAATTAACGCCAAACAGCACACACCATACACCGAGCCATTCTACTGTATGAAACGTGAGGTCTTTTGGCAGACGGAGGGTGAGATTTTGGCCAGTGTACTCCCCCAACTTTTTCAAGCTGTTTTGGAAAAAAGAAATAAGACATGCTACTGTGTTTTCTGAATGCTTGCACAATGTTTTAACCACACAGGTTTGACATTGATGTGTCTATGAGCCTATGGTAAGTAATGATCTTCGATTGCTCGTAGCCTAACTTATTGGTTCGAGGTTCTAATTGAAAATTTGAATTTTTGTTTTCGGTAAATTAATAACGTTATAGTGCGGATCATTTTAAACGAATCACTACAATCATACACACTCTCTGCTATCTCAGAAATTCGGTACACACCTTCCATTTTCGTCTGGTACCTTCGTTCCTTCGCTGGTCGGAAGAGGGCCAGATCCAACCCAAAAAAAGCCATCTAGAGAGTAGACGTATTAGTCTTATTTGAATATCATCAGAAATGTTCATCGTCTATATGATTTTTTAATATGGGACACAGACAGTTTATTATCACCCAGGTCAAAATTATCCACTATCAGCAATGCAATAACTATGTATGGTTCTTAATTTTGCTGAGGGCCATCCTAGGCTTTTGCGCCAAATAAATAACGTCCATGACTCTGCAACTTGTATCACCCCTTTAACTGTCTTTTGCCCATTTGAATTGCCGCCTTACCTGGTCCTAGACCATCGTATTTAAAGTTTGGAATAACCACAGTCTTGGTATCTAGAACAATGATATTGCCAGAAGACACCCCGTGAGTGGTTAACTTAAAGGGACCCAGAACTTGAGGCCTGGGCGGGTCGATATCTATTGGGATAATGATATGACCGAAATCAGCCTGAAAATTAGAATGCCATTTTTATTTTGACACAAAATATATTGGATTGATTTATAGAGTTGTCAAGTTGACAAGTTGTCAGTTGACGAGTGTTGTACTAATTTTCGATTTTTAAAACCTCATTGATGTGCTATTTGCTATTTCTGTATTCATAATGTTGCGTAACCCCCCCCCCCCTAAAAAAAAGAAATAAAAACTGGAACGAAAACAAAGAGCTAAAATACTCCGAGACAGGCTATGGGTTATAAACTAACCAGTTGCTGCGTAAATGCTTATTGCAATTCTAGACAGATTTATTCTTTTGAGTACACGCCAGGAATAAAAGTCTTCCAGTCATTTGCATGCTTTACATGTATCTTTCAGGCATGTTGTTTCCAATTAATACGTATTTACAGGCACGAGTAGGCCTATACCCTAGAAAGAACCCCATCTACAATATCTTATTAATTTTGTTGATTTAAAAATCTTTTGGAATCAACATTCTTTGTCCATGCGTCAGTGAAAAATTGTGATGTTTTTCTTTTCTTTTTAAGTGTTTTATGCACTTACGGAAAACGCAACGCACCACACTGACAGCCATTTAATGTCTTGAATTCTAATGCCTTCTGGAAGGGTGAGAGTTAAGGTAACATTTTTGTATTCTTTGAGAACAGCGGAACTGAAAAAAATAAGTAGAATAGCGGTGAACATTAGTGGTTAACTGTCATTCAGTTCATTTTCAGCATCTAAATTTTGAAATTATTAAACAATTTTAAACGTTTTTGTCATCAATTTATATTTTTTAAAGATTGGAATTAAAGCAACCCACTTGCACCCATGAGGCTACTCCCATATTCTTGTGCAGTGTCTATGTCAGTGATAAGTGACAAAAATGTCAGTAAGTCTTACACGACGGACTGTTATAGTTCGTTTCTTTTATTATACCTTCCCTTCTCGTCGAGGATCTTGATGCCTTCGTCACTTGGTGTATCCCGAGTTGCATTTTGCCTCAGTCCAATATAGAAGAAAGCATCTGATGGGGAAAAAATAATGTGTGGGACATATTCATGTTTAGACTTTTATTGTGGAGTGTGCATAAGATTACATTTAAGCTTTTGGTTGCACTATGACATGCAAAAAGCGATGGGTTCCCCTTAAGTGCTACACTGCACATGACACTATCCATCAGAAGCTAGCAATGAGTTGGAATAAAACTGAGGTCAAGTGTTTTACGTCCGTTTTTTTCCCCTTTGCACGGCATTGCTCTTTGTATTCTAAGGTGCAACTTTTAAATATTTAGGTACCAAACATAATATATATGGAGTAAATAAAATTAACTTTTTTAAGAAAACAGTTCTATTTACTATTTATTACGTTTGGTATTAAATATTAAAAATATTAACTCTTTTCTATGATTTCCAATAAACCAAACAACAAGAAATTTTAATTTTTTACCTGGGCCTTGTCCATCGTAGGTGAAGCCTAGTATTTTGAATCTGTGACTGTCCACTGCGTAAACTGTGCCTTTCACACCGTGGTAAAGCTCTTGGATAGGTCCAATCAATTTACCATGATATTCAGCAGCGTTGCTGCAGCCTTTCGGCGCAAGTTAGTGAAGAAAAAGAATTGTAGTTAATAAGCACAGAAAAGTCTGTTTCGATACTGAAAAATATACGCATAATAAGATCAAATACTTTCTTGTTGTGACTACTATAACATAAAATAATATGACACTAAATGATGTAGCCAGACCACCAGGGTCATTACCTAGTGAAAGGTCTCAAGGTGAGACCACAACGTCGGTTGTCGTTTAATTTTACCACGTAATGTTCCAAAATTTGATTAAGATACATTTTTGATAGCATAATGATATTCTTTCGAATTTTGCAAAAGAATTCGATCCAAAGCTCATAAATGTTCTTAAACAATGACTGCTACATGTATATTTAACGTGAAAAGTTAATTAAAACCCTTAGAATCCCATTCGACCGACTAAATAAAGTAAGATATATACAAGAGTATCGCCAAGAAAGATAGGCGTCTGCTACTTACAAAAAATGACAGCGGCAATGCAGGCTAACAACAACATCACCACCACGATGAGGTAAACTGTCTACTAGTATCTTCCTAATTTGCTTGATACGTTTATAAGGCGATAAGATATGAGGCGCACGTAGGGTTACGACCCCAAAATCGTCTGGAAATTCTAAGTAGTTGACCTACAAGTAAAAAAAAAACATTGTGCAGACAGGTATATGCGTTGCTTGCGGTAATCAATTGAAGCCTAAGTGAAATCTTCATGAATTCAACATTAGATCAGAAACTCTAATAGAAAAAAAACTACAATTCACACTTTACTGACTCTATTTACAAGGAGCGTATGTAATACATACCCAACGTCACTGACGATGTTACAGATCCTGGCGTAAAGCTTTACTGTCATTTACATTGTGACAGAGTATTTGTTTCATCAAACAGACCTTATGCTTTCCCGGCCCTGACAAGTGACAATTTGTATTTCAGTGTGTGAGATGCTCCCTACCAGATGACGTCATTCCTGTACAAAAAACTCTCACGGCACAAAATGTGCACAGAATTTGCCAAAGAAATATCTGTGAATATCTAGTATTGAAAAATATATCTGTGTCCTGGCAGAGGAAACCAGTGAGAGAGTAGGATCGGTGAGCATGAAAAAAAGGAATTTAAATGCTTCTTGAAAGACAAGCGCGTAATAAAGGAAGGACGTCCTTTTGTTGAGAGAGAAATACTCGCAAATTAATTATTGCCTGTGACCACTGCAATGGGCAAACTTACTCAAAGGAATGAACTGAATTTTTTCTGACAATGATATAAGAGCGATCAACTATTCCTCGTTCTTTTCACTTGGTGAAAATATTTAAAGCCACGTTTTGGTAGTAGTGCTCGTCTTTTCAGCTGACGTTAGCTTATTTAACACAGACGCTCGTCAGAATTATCTAGAATCGTTCTCACATTTTATCAATGTTTGTGTGTTATAACTCATGTGTTGTAGCCAAGTTGAAACCTTGGGAAGTTCACTGTCAACGTCAGGTAACTTCGCGTGACTATATAAAACGTATGTTAGAGAAGCGACATGGGATGTTAACTACGCCTCAATTAAATTTCTAAAAGATCGAGCTAAGACATTCATCTACATTTTTTTCTGGCTTTATCGTAGACAAATCATATAATGGCTTTCTTATCTTAAAACGCACTATTGTGATTTTGATAATAAATTTGCGAGGTCTGACTATCCCAGATGACTTAACATTTAATAGGCATCTTTCTACTGTCATCGACTTACTTTAAGTATGCATGTATCCGATGTATTATTATATATGTACAAGTGACACGCCAAAACATTGATTTTAGCATGACGAAAGACTTTTTTTTCGAAACAAGTTATATCATGAATAAAAAATAAAGTGGATGAATGTATACCTAATCTCGGTGGAATCGAACAGAACTAAATACCAAAAGTAAAACTTGAGTAACGGAAGAGTTTCAAAAAGAAATATAGTGTTGAAAACGAAACACACGTGCTACTTAAATTCACGATTATATAATACTCAGACTAATTTTGAAAAAGTTTTCATTTATCATAGACACGTCGTTAAAAAAAATGAAAATAAAATATTTCAAATTAGGGTGGCGGGGACAGGTGCGGTTGCGTGAAACGTGAAATTTCATTTTCTTCAAAGGTTATTTACCTCCTGGGGTCATAACTTTCAAACTTAAAACCACAGCAAAGCACTTGGTAGTTAACACGTCGGTGAACGACCTAGGTCCGTGAACAACGTACCTTTTGTCTGTGAATGATTCTAACGATTCTTAACAAGTTTAAACGAGACAAATTTCAGTCAATTGTGAAATGAAATGAAATGTGTTTTCATGTCAGGTCCGATTTGATGTTCTTGGCAAACTCGATATCATTTTTGTTTTCCACGTTAACATACATTTTTTGACCAGGTTGGTTGAAGCGGTGTTTCATGCAGTTAAAGAGTTATTTCAATGCCTCTCCCCCCCGGCCTGGCCACTACATTTTTTATTTTGGACATATTTTTTTTTTCGCTAATTCACTGAAAAAAAGTAAAAAATGGGGGAAAAAATTGCAGTAGTGCAAGCACTGAGATTTCTCAACAAGTTTACAGCTGTTATTCTCGCACGCTCATATCTCCAAGTTCACTTTTCATGATATTAGTTTAAAAATACATTGCTAACGCTAACTTTGTTTCAGTAATTTTTTTCAAATAAAAGAACAAGTAAGCTTACTAAGGATTTTCACGATTTTTCCTGAACGTAGTTGCTTGTCCCACCACTAACTCAAGGTATTACACATTTTATCATTTGCTTTTCAACCTTATTCCGCAGGTGAAAGAAGTTTAGATCTTTTTAAAAACTTTTTTCTTTCTGGAAAAAGAAAAGAATTAAAGTCAAGCTAGTGTCATGTTTTTTATTACAAATTACAATACTTAACATTTGGGAGGCGGTTTCCCACTATCTACAGGACTGAATATCTAGAGATTTTAACTATAACATATGTAATCTACAGCATAGTCAATATCAGTTTACATCTCTTTGTGCTATGTGCTACATGGGAGGGCCTCCCCCAGTCCCGCTCCGAGCTATTTGCTGTTTTAAGATCATTATACTCTCTCTCTGCTCTGGCGGCAGCATTGCAATCTGCTGGTCTGACAACTGTAGTACTTGCATAATAAGGGCAGCCTAGAAATAGAAGATAACTCACGCTGGTGATTTGCTAAAACGCACGTTTTTTTTAACAATCATGGACTAGAACTCAAAACATAATTATGTGCAGAATCATGACGTACATGAGTAACTTTGACTTTCTTTATCTTGTACGATTCTTCCACAAGATCAAATGCTATTTTCCAAATGCAAACAACTGAGAATTTCAAACTTTCTATTTAACTTTGAAAACTGATGTTATTTTGTGGACGGTAACTTCCAACCAGTACAAATGGCCACCCACCTTTTCCTGATCTTGTGCAGAGATGCCAGCGCCACCTCCTGGAGCTCCCGGGCCAACAGCTGGGGACTAAAACAGCACAAAGAACAAGTTTCTACAAAGCCTTACATAAACAGATTTAACCACCATTTATCTTAAGCAGGTAACTTTTTCATAGAAACGAAACAATAAAGTCAATTGACCAACTCAGATTCATCAGTTGAGGAATAAGTAATTTGCTTTCTTGGTGTAGTTCAAAATTAATGAACAAAATAACCTGCTTGTAAAGTTAATGGAAAAGAATAATACACCAACAAAATTAAACAAACAGATGAATTATGGGCATTTTAAAGAAGTACGTTTTGCCTTACAGGATGTCTAACTGGTCCTCCTGGGCCTGGCCTTCCTCCCATACTCCTAGGGTCCCTGGGGTCTCTTGGATCTCCAGCGCCTCCAAGTGACCTGGGGTCCATTGCACCCCCNAATTGTGAAATGAAATGAAATGTGTTTTCATGTCAGGTCCGATTTGATGTTCTTGGCAAACTCGATATCATTTTTGTTTTCCACGTTAACATACATTTTTTGACCAGGTTGGTTGAAGCGGTGTTTCATGCAGTTAAAGAGTTATTTCAATGCCTCTCCCCCCCGGCCTGGCCACTACATTTTTTATTTTGGACATATTTTTTTTTTCGCTAATTCACTGAAAAAAAGTAAAAAATGGGGGAAAAAATTGCAGTAGTGCAAGCACTGAGATTTCTCAACAAGTTTACAGCTGTTATTCTCGCACGCTCATATCTCCAAGTTCACTTTTCATGATATTAGTTTTTAAATACATTGCTAACGCTAACTTTGTTTCAGTAATTTTTTTCAAATAAAAGAACAAGTAAGCTTACTAAGGATTTTCACGATTTTTCCTGAACGTAGTTGCTTGTCCCACCACTAACTCAAGGTATTACACATTTTATCATTTGCTTTTCAACCTTATTCCGCAGGTGAAAGAAGTTTAGATCTTTTTAAAAACTTTTTTCTTTCTGGAAAAAGAAAAGAATTAAAGTCAAGCTAGTGTCATGTTTTTTATTACAAATTACAATACTTAACATTTGGGAGGCGGTTTCCCACTATCTACAGGACTGAATATCTAGAGATTTTAACTATAACATATGTAATCTACAGCATAGTCAATATCAGTTTACATCTCTTTGTGCTATGTGCTACATGGGAGGGCCTCCCCCAGTCCCGCTCCGAGCTATTTGCTGTTTTAAGATCATTATACTCTCTCTCTGCTCTGGCGGCAGCATTGCAATCTGCTGGTCTGACAACTGTAGTACTTGCATAATAAGGGCAGCCTAGAAATAGAAGATAACTCACGCTGGTGATTTGCTAAAACGCACGTTTTTTTTAACAATCATGGACTAGAACTCAAAACATAATTATGTGCAGAATCATGACGTACATGAGTAACTTTGACTTTCTTTATCTTGTACGATTCTTCCACAAGATCAAATGCTATTTTCCAAATGCAAACAACTGAGAATTTCAAACTTTCTATTTAACTTTGAAAACTGATGTTATTTTGTGGACGGTAACTTCCAACCAGTACAAATGGCCACCCACCTTTTCCTGATCTTGTGCAGAGATGCCAGCGCCACCTCCTGGAGCTCCCGGGCCAACAGCTGGGGACTAAAACAGCACAAAGAACAAGTTTCTACAAAGCCTTACATAAACAGATTTAACCACCATTTATCTTAAGCAGGTAACTTTTTCATAGAAACGAAACAATAAAGTCAATTGACCAACTCAGATTCATCAGTTGAGGAATAAGTAATTTGCTTTCTTGGTGTAGTTCAAAATTAATGAACAAAATAACCTGCTTGTAAAGTTAATGGAAAAGAATAATACACCAACAAAATTAAACAAACAGATGAATTATGGGCATTTTAAAGAAGTACGTTTTGCCTTACAGGATGTCTAACTGGTCCTCCTGGGCCTGGCCTTCCTCCCATACTCCTAGGGTCCCTGGGGTCTCTTGGATCTCCAGCGCCTCCAAGTGACCTGGGGTCCATTGCACCCCCTATGGACCGTGGATCTCTCATTTCTGGCCGTGCTGGACCAGGCCCCCCTGGACCCTGGGGTCGCATGCCTCTCTGATGCCCAACATCCATGCCACCAGGGCCTAACATAGAAAAGTAAAAAAAAATTGATTAAGTCAATAAACAACTGTACAGCAAGATGGTTTTTGAGTCAGTAAAAATAACTTTCCTGAAAATATCAAACATTTTCATCTCAATACCAAGTACGGCCTATTAAAGTAAGAGAAGCATGAGCCTGCTTATTATTTGCACAGCACAGTATATAAGGATATCTACCTGGGACACCCATGGGTCCTGGTCCACGTGATGGAATATCATGCATCCCCCTACCTGGGCCTGGCTGTGATACCTGTG